AGCCTGGAGTCACAGGAGACAGATCAGTCAATCCTGCAAAGGCAGCACATACAAGTTAAGGTTAAGAAACATTAGCACTGTAAACATCCAGTCCCTGTTATATCTTACAGAAATTACTTTATAATACAATGCCCCAGCAAAAGGGAAGCAGTTGCATTCATCCAGAAAATACAAGACGCATGTAAGACCATGGCATTCAGCCCAGCAGTAAATTTTAATTTGAATGAATTCATTGGTTTTTGTACACTGTTAAAGAAAATGTAAATCCAATCTCATGCCCAGACTTTGCAGAGTCCAGATAAAATGTCAATTCCAGCTTTAGTTCTTTCATCCTAAGCTACTTAAAAAAAGTCAAAAAGAGACAAGTCAGGCCATCAGTCATCTTCAGATGTTCACAAGACAGAAATTATGGGGAAAAAAGCAAGCTAGACGTCTCTCCCCAGGAATCTACAATCTAAAGTAATCACCTTATCTATTGTCCAGGAAAACAATCTCAGACAAGTTATTCATCAGTTCAAAAATAGTGTAAGAAACAAGCTGATGAAAAGTGAACAGCAGGTCTGTCCAGTGAAAATTTACACCAGTTTGATTTCCTTCACTGACCTGGTAGCCAGCTCAGGAGAGGAGAGTAAAGCAAGAGGTGTGGCAGCTTTCATCTGACTGTCAACTTGTTTAAAACAACACCTTAAAGGAAGCTGTCAAACTGTGTTAACTGCATCTTTACCATGAGAGCACAACTGATAAAAAATGTCATGTTTCAATAGGGAGCCTCCCCAAATATGTGGACAGTCTTTTTTCACTCAAGGAAAAATGGAAATGGGGTTACTGTGTTTGTGGCTGAGTTCAAATGGACTCATAAGGGGTAGAACAGAGAAAAGAGTGTAAAAACCATAAATAACAAAAATCACAACACTGCTATCCAATGGTTTGCATGCTGTCAAAGGAAAGCTAAGAGAAAATAAATTAACTTTGGTGCAAAAATCTACTAGGACAAGAATACTGATACAGATCACTCAGGGTTTGATATCTACACAATCTTCTTTACAAAGGGGTTGTCTCTGGAACAAGGATTCCAAACTATCCTTTTAAACACAAAGGAAGCCAAAGCTACTTTAAACACAGATTCATGCTTCACAATTCATCTGCTTCATCTTAAAGCCAATTTTTGCAAGCTGCTGCACACAAGGTTACAACTTTTTGAACAAAAGGACTTAAGCTTCAGTTATTCTCTTATCTGGGGAAATGAAGGACATTTGGGACTTCATGCATTTGTTAGAGAAGTCACACTGAAGCAGTCCTCTATCTTGTGTGAGATCAGAGACTACAATTACAGCTAGAACAGCAGAGTTATCTGGGAAGAGTATCAAACTGGAAGCTCAGCTGCACATAACACAACCAAAACATGTTTAATCTATATTACTATATAAGAACTTATTCAACATCATAATCTCAATCTTAAAATTTCCTAGATTAATGTCATGCCAGTTTCTTTGATACCACACTAGAGGTGGGACTGCATCTTCTCTTTGGCTATACCTGACACAGAGCTTCCACCTGGGGACAGCAGCTGGAGTGACAAAGATCCCATACACCCAAAGAAGCTGAGGGACACACCCACTTCACAATACCACTTTAATGACACTACAACAGTCCTTTGCAGTCTGCTCTTAGCTAATGGCCAGGACACGTAGCAATGACTGACTGAAAGGTTCACTCAGCCAGGAAACATTAGAATATATGAAAATACAACAAGCCAGGATCAATAACTCTATTAGCAACCCGGAAAACAAAGACTGTGTGCAATGGGTAAAAACAGCTTTAGTTTTCTATGAATGCTGTAACACTACTCTACATTCTACACCATTTCACAAGTTATCTCTACTGCCCAAAGAACTCCACTGAATTCTTTACAGAGGGAAAAATTGTACAAATCCTCTTATTTTACAGTAGCCCACAAAGAGGCCAAGTCCCCCATTGATAATTTCAGTTCACACTCTGATTCTGATAGCACTAATCTATAATACTCTGGTAGTACCACAGAGCAGACCTGAAGTGTACAAAACCAATTAATTTTTTTTTCCTAATAAAAGTAAGCTGGAAGATGCAGTCCACGAACACACCAAATTGTCCCTGACTGTTAAGGGAACTCAGTACACAGCACCAGAACAGAACTTCTCTGAGATACCTCACTGAAGTATCTACAGGGTGGATGTCAGTTTCTCGGACACGCTGGAGAAACACAGCTCTGCAGATTTGTAATGAGTCTGTGCAACTTCCTAACACACACACCCTGCAATAGGAGGGCAGGGGACAACGGGGTCGATTGTCACAGGAAACTACGTGGTAGAGGCGACGTCATGCTTGGTGTGACTGGTCTTATACTGCAAAGAGGTTAGACAGGAGACTTGCCACAGTCGAACTTCCAAACCTGAGAAGAATAAAAAGGCCAGGCCAGCTGAGAGACCACCAAACTTCATCCATCCCTGTAGTTACGGGCACCAGGCGAAGCCCTGGGACGCTCCCCAAGGGCCACCCAGCCTAAGGCCCGAGTACCGAGGGCCTCACCGGGCCACACGCAGGCAGTGCTCCAGTCTGCGGCCTGCTCAGATCACCAAGTGACACAAAGAGGCCACGGCTCTTCCCCGCCAAGGATCGCGACCCCCGGATCACCGCTGCTCCCAGCGACAAGCCCGGGACTCGCCCCCATGCCCAGCCCTAGCGCCAGCCTCGCCCCTCCTGCGCTCTCGCTGTGGGAGGGTCTCGTCCTTTCCCGTCCCCACCTCCCAGGCCTCGTTGGTTCCGCCCCTCCCCGTCCCCGGCGCTTGGTTCACCCCGAGCCCCCCGCCCTGTCACCCATAGCGGCCGCCGCAGCCCCGTTCCTCACCCAGGGACATGTCGATCTTCTCCAGGCTCTCGCCGCCGGCGTGCCGGGCCCCCGCCGCGGCCGAGGAGCCCGGGAGCGGTGCTGCAGCCCCGAACGCGTTCATGGCCGCCTCCCTCAGACCGGACCGCCCCCAGCAGGGCTCGCGCAGGCGCAGCAGCTCCGCCCAGCCCAGGGCACAGAGGCCGCGCCGGGGAGCGACGCAGCGCTTCTCTGGCACCGCGCCTCCTGGCGGCCGGGAGGAGCAGGTACATGGCGGGGGGCGATGGGCGATGGGCGATGGGCGATGGCTGGGCTCGGGGACCCGCGGGGTGCCCGCGGTCGCTTCCAGAAGCGGCTCCTGCAGGGACAGTGTCCTTGGGAGCAGTGAGTGGCACGTCGAGCTGGGCCCGGGGAGGGGGGGGGGGGGTGCTGGGAAGCAGAGCTGAGGGCTCTGGGGTGCAGGGCTGGGGGACAGGCGGGACTCTGGGCACTGTGCGGGTGCGGGGTGCAGGGATCGGGGACAGGGCATTTGTGCCCTAGGGCACGGAATCCTGGGCTGGTTGCAGACCCGGGGCGTGCTCAGAGGGGCCACGGAGGTGATTGGAAGCACGAAGCACCTCTCCTATGAAAATAGGCTGAGAGATTTGGGGGTTTTCAGCCAGGAGAAGAGAAGGCTTCGGGAGATCTCATTACAGACTTCCAGTACATGATGGGGCCTCTAGGAAAGATGGGGACAGATTTTTACAGCAAGGTTTGTTGCAATAGGATAAGGGTGATGGCTTTAAATCGAAAGAGGTCCATTTAGACTGGATATAAGGAAGAAATTTTTTACTATGGCAGTGGTAGAACACTGGCACAGATTGTCCAGGGAGGGGGTGGATGCCCTATCCCTGGAAACACTCAAGGTCGGGTTGGATGGGGCTCTGAGCAGCCTGATCTAGTCGAAAATGTCCCTGCTTATGCAGGGACGACCACATGACCTCTAAATGTCCCCTTCAATCCAACCATTCTGTGTTGCAGGGTAGGGAAGGGTATTCAGCTGAGAAGCTATGATATGCCTTTGCCTGTGACCCCCATGTAATTGAGAGAAATGTTATGTTCTGTTCTGTGAACAACAAAACCAATCCAGGGTGGTTTTGAGCAGAATTATGTTTTCAAACATCAAACAGCAGAGTTCATACTAGGTTCCTATTTCAAAATACCATGTAAAGCTTAAAATTACTACTTAAACCCAGAACAGTGTGTCCATACTTTGTTCTCTTTGGGTTCTTTTCAGAGTTGTTATCTTCACCAGCTTTTGGTCAGAATTGTGTGATTGAGAAATTCAAAAGAGAAATTGTTTTTTTAACAAAGAATCTAGCGAAGCCTTTCCCTCCTCTCTGTATATTCACATTCTTTAGAGCTGTGGGTATTGGTGGGTCAGCAGTACACATGTGTCTAGTGGGCAGCTGGCTGCTTGCTAAACAAGTTACATGTAACAGGGCTTTTTTACACAACAGCACTTTCTTCATTTGGCACTCTAATACAATTAAGTAATAATAATTATCTGCAGAATCTCTACATCTTGCTTGTGGTTGGTTGAAATTGGTCACTGAGTTCCAGAGACAGAAAAGGAAGGAGCAGATGGACTGACAAGGTGATCACAGAGCCTCCTTCAGAAGCCAGGCAGTAAATGCTGGAAAGAAAACCCACATCCATTTCCCCTGCTCACAATGGTCACTGGTGTTACCGTCCAGGTGTCCCCGAGTTGTCTCTGGGGCTGTGCTGAGGCTGCCATCCTAAAGGTCCCTTTCTTTACCTTGACCAAAGGATGGCTTGTTTTAGGGCCTGCCTGCTTGCCTCCAGAGAGGGAGCTCCATACCGAGACTACAGGGACTGTATTGCAAATGCCCTTGGGTAGGGATAATTATTTCCATACATGACCTTGCACACACCTCCTTCCAGCAGGAACACTCCTACATTTCTGTAGTTGCCCACATATTCCATATGCACATTTGCTAAAATAAACACTCTGTGACAAGTGCAGTACCCCAAGTACCTGACACACAACGAGCTCCAGTGTGTGAAATCCCTGTCACAGCTCTGTCCTGCTGTGCTGGGAGCTACCTGCACTGAAATACTATGCAGGCCTTAAGAATGGGAGATCTTTCCAGGAGTGTTACCCTGAAAGGCAAGAATAAGAGGAGTGAGTTGAGGCTTTCTGTCCTCAGCTGTGTCCTGTACTACAGACTGTTAACAAGGCCCTGCTCTCTCCATTTGCACTTTATCCATCTCTTTTTAAATAAGGCCAAAAATGTGTTTCTGGATGTTCCTCTCCCTGCTTCCTACTGTCTAGAAAAGAATGGCTCAATTACTGTCACAGGACACCTCCAGCTAGTGAGAGATTTTCCCTTCAGTTAGGAGAAACTCGTGACCACAGTGCTGGAGGCTGACAGTTCCACCCTATTTTCTTCTCTATGTTCTTCATGGGCAGCAGAAGTTCAGACACTGTTTTGGACCCACAGATTTGGGAACTCTTGATAACATTTTCCCCCAGGTAAGATTGCATGCCAAATGATTGATGACGAGTAGGAGGTTCTTATAATCAGGCTACGTTTCTAAAGCAAATATGCTATTGCCAGATTACCAAGAACTACTGAAAATGGAGATGCCAAAAGATGTATTTTTAAAAAAGCATTAAGTCAAATTCCCATGAGGCTGTAAGGTCCAGCTTCATCTGGGGACTGTGTCACACCAATAAACAAATGCTCTGTTTACCCCAAACAAACACATGAACTGCAAAGGTGGCAGATGCTACCTGTCCTCGTGACAAGTGGAAATCAGACAAAATCCAGATTTTACACATGCATGAATTGTGTTTATTATATAAACAGAACACCAGCTGTCTGCTGCTCAGCACAACAGAAAACCAGGCACAAGTTGTGATCCTGAAGGGTATCTTCTTTCTGTGTTCAAAATGGTTGGAGATCGCGAAGGCAACCATGCAAACATCAGCTCTTGATTTGCTGTGTGGCTCTCGGGAGTGTGTTGGCATCCAGACAAGTGGCAAAGCTTCCAAGTGACACTGGGAGCTACAAAAAAACTAGTATTTTAATTGTATTAAGTCCAGTATGACACAGCTGTGCTGAGTGTGTAACACTGTGTGTTTAAAGCACCCACAGGCTGTAGTAAATTTTGGGACTGGTTCTTTCCTGGGCTTTTCCCACACCTTTCTGGACCACCAGTTGTCTCCTCACAGAAAAGAGACCTCATGGCTTGTCTGCCCAGTAACCTCTGCTGTTTCAGTAGGAGGAGTTGCAGAGGAATTGTGGAGGAATTGCAGAGTAGATTTCAGCTGCTGAACATGCATAAGTTCCTGGGATGAAGTGTTAAAATTACCAAGCAGAAACAACACCCAAAGGATCAAATGCTAAGTGTACTCAAAGATTTAAAGCCAGAGGGGACTGTCTAGTTCAAGCTGAATGTTGTGAGCTGTGGAATATCACACCTGCTTTGATCCCATATTTTTATATATATATATAACATACCTTTACAATGGTTGACCTCTATTGGCACTCCTTAAATTTTACACTTGAGGATTAATGTCCGGTTTAACCTCAGTGAAGAACCAGAAGCTCACAATGTCTGTGTGTGACCACAAGCTTTTTATTGATGGTTTTTTATATGCTCTCTAAATTGATGTGGGCATTGACAGTAGTTAAGTAAACAATAAGTAATGTATGCAAAACAACATAATGAAGCAGGGGAAACGGAGATTTTTTTCCTGAAGAAATTTCAAAAGTCATTGTTGAGCAGCATCCTGGCTATTTCTGACTTGTGGAGCTAGAAGAATCTTGTAATTCCTGATGGAGGAGCTAAATTAGATCTGTTAGCTTTATCTGCATGCTCCATTCGCCAGATATGGTCATCTAACAATTGCAGTAGTCCAAATGACTTGATTTCCTCCAGTATGTTTACTGTGAGAGTCAACGCAGTCTGATGCCCTGAGATCTAACATGCAATGTACAGGCAATGTTTTCAATCGGTGCAGCAGGCTCTATGAAAGGAAATTTCTGCCTTATGACTGGATTCAAGTTGTTGTTCCACACTTGCATATGATTATGATGCATGAGGAGTCCTGGTCTCTTCATTAAACAGCTTCTGAAATATACATTTCTGTTGTTGTTATCAAGAATAGCAGTATAGAACCTTGTACCCCCATGTGCTGCAGAAGTAGTGCAGTGGTAAAACAAACCACATAGAAAATGTCAGCTTTTTCATGTATGCAGCATATAGTTATCATTTCAAATAACAGTTATAGGGAATTTCCATTATACAAATGCCAGGCTTTGGTTTCTGACGCACCAGGCAACGTCAGAGATGCATCTAGGTTTTATCTTCGATATTAATTTGTCATTGACTATTCTCAGTCGAAAGACAGCAGCATCAGTTTTTCCTTTTTGAAGTTTCATTTCACTGCGTTTCGGTGGAAGGCACATCTTACTGTGCTGTATTTTTCATATCCTCCTTACACTGGGCGGTAGAACAGAACCCTCTTTCCGTTCCTGTCTCTGCAGGTGTGATCAGTGCGTGAGCTGTCCCCCAGGGACACGTTTTTGTTTGGTATTTTCCCCTTGCCAATCGCATTTTCCTTATCACGTTCGAGGCAGGATTTGGTGAGGGTTATCTCAGCAATCATTGTCGTTATTTCCCAGCGCTTTGAAGTCGGGGGAGACCCCGAAAACTCTGGAGCTGAGGAGGCCGCTGCGGGGCGCCCGTCATGGCGTCCGAGCTCCGCGGTGCACGCCGGGAGCTGTAGTCCGCCGTGGGACGGGATGCGCCGGGGAGGGGCGGTGCACGCCGGGAACTGTAGTCCGTGGGCGGGGCGGGGCGGGCGCTCGCCCCTCCCGCGCGACGGTGTCGCGGTGGCGGCGGCGGCGGGGCCGCGCGCGCCCGGGATGGAGATCGGGCCCCACGAGGGGCACGCGGAGAGCAGGTAGGGTCACGCGCGGCGGGACACGCGCGGGAGGGGCGGGTGCGAGTGTCCCGGGGGCGCGGGGCGCGGGCGTGGCGCTCAGCGGCCGTGCCAGGGTGTGGGGCGGCAGGAAGCTGTGTGTGCACGCGTGGGGTGCGGCACACTCGCGAGTGTGTCGGTGTGTGTGTGTGTGTGTGTGTGTAAGTGTGTCTGGGATGTGCGTGCGGGAACGCGGGTGGCAGCAGCGCCAGCAGGCGCGTGGCGCCTGGATAGCAGTAGGGATGCGCGGGGGATGCTCCTGGAGAGCTCACGTCCTGCGTGGGTAGGTGGGAGTGTGTGCACAGCCAGCGCCAGGACACAGGTGTGGGGGTACCTGGAGGCGAGCAGGGGATGAACAAACCCCTCGTGAGTGGGATCACTGCTTGCAGAGCGTGACACTGCCCCAGCTCTGTCCCTCGTGGGAGGAAGCACACAGTGGCCGGGCTATCAGAGCCGTCGCCCACCCGAGGCCAGCACATCGCTCTTCTCTATGCTCTGGGAAGGAGTCCTGGCCCCTGGAGGGGCAGTGACAGCCAGGGCTGTACCCTCAGTACCTGGTGCTCTGTCCCCCATCAGCCATGGCCAACACAGCAGCTGTCAGGCCTCTGCTTCACACGCCTTGAGCTTAAGGGCGAAACCACCCCGCCCTAACGCCGCGCTGCCACCGTTCGGGTGGCTCTGGAGCTTGCTGCTCTGAGATCCTATCTCCTGTCCTTCCTGGCATCCCCTCTTCTAGGTACTGAACAGAAATTTCTTTATTTATCTCTTTATTCCTGGGGGCGAGGCCCTGCGCCTGCACATGACTGGTGGTGAGCATGGTGACCTTGGTTGCGTGGTCTTTATATGTGCTTCAGGCCTGTTTTTTCTTGTTAATATTTATGAGCAGCAGAGGCTGTTTCCTGGAGGTGTTTTGATGGCGAATCCTATTCAGGCTTTTGCAGGTGCATTGTTTTTGCCCTGGTGCTCACAAGCATAGGGTGAATGTTGGATGGAAATTGGAAGTGTTGGCTAGGGAGGAAGGAGCAGCTGAAACTTGATATGAGAGAGAAGCATTCCTTATCTGAGGGGCTCAGTCAGTTGCTCTATTCCTGCTTGCCATATCACTGGGAAAATGCTACCAGTGCTTTTAAAGCTATAGCATAGGTTTGGGGTGCCTTCTGATTTGGCACGGTTCAAGCTGTTCTCCCTCTTTACTAATTCTTCAGACACAGCAGGTTCCAAAAGGTAAGAGGAATTGACTGGATTCACTGCTTTGTCTTTCCAGGCTCATCTTTGTGCATTTTCTTGCCTTTGCAAACACAAGTCCTGCACTACCAGATTCTGCCATCCTGTGACTAATAGGGCTGGAGTGGTGCCACCCCCAGCACTCCCCCAGGGACAAGGAGGGCATCATCTCCCACCGGTACTGGCACATACAGGAGCCTGCTTGTTCTCCTGGCTTGCCTGGGTTTCCCGCATGGGCCTTAAACTGCCTTGTTCCTTGTGTGATGTGGTTAGCATTTTTATTCCCAGTGAGGTGCCATTTCACACTGGACTATGGCAGTTACTGACAGTGATAAGATAGAGATCACTGGAGCCGTCTTCCTGTGTATTACAGGAAATGCAGAAGCAAAAGTTATTGTGCTGAAGTCCATCGTTCTGCCAGCACAGGAGAGGAAAATGAGGATTTTGTACTGGATTTTTCCTCCTAGTAGTAGCTCTGAAATGCATAGAGTGGCAGGGCTGTAATGCCAATGTCCAGGGAGGATATTGTCTTTGGAAGCAGGAGGGTTAGTGCTGTCCTGCTGGGCAGAGAGCAGGGCTCTTGGGGTGGTGCAGATGGGCCAGTGGTCAGCTGGGCAGGTTAGCAAAGAGCTGTTGTCACTTTTGTCTCTGGCATCAGCAAGACCCTCAGGGGCAACAGGGCCAGAGGAGAGGGTTCCTAAAGGGAACCTATGCTGTGAGAAATGGAGGGATGTGAGCAGCTGCTCTCAGGGAGGCAGGCTGCTATGGGGATCTGCTCTGCCTGTCACTGCCTCTGACTGCCTACATGCTTGTCACAGGCAGGTCCTGTGCAGATTGAAGCCCAATGGACAGTACCCTGGGTCCACACTGTGTGGTCATCTGCTTGTGAGAGACTTAGCCAGATGAGCAGGTAAAGCTATCTGCCATGGGAAGGTTAAAAAACACCTTGAATCCCTATTTTCTTCCCTCATCCTTTGCCAGTGCAGAGCAAGAATGCGTCAGCAAACAGCATCTCTGGGCTGTGTTTGCTGGGAGCACCTTTTGTAGTCATGCCCCAATTTTATATCAGTGCCAGCTTTTAGCATGAATGCAAGTTACCCTGCGTGTCCTTTTCCAGCCAGCCCACTCAGCTATTCCTGCCCATCCCTGCTGGGCTGGCAGAGCTCTTCTGGCTTCCTCTGCCTGTCAGCCACTCCCCTCGACTGCAGATGAATTGCACGAAGCCTGGCTTTCTTTAATCCCTTTTCCCAGCAGTGCTGAGCCTGTGGAGGAGCAGGCGGGGGAGTCCAGGGAAGGGGCTGCTGGTTGTCTGGGAGATCTGGGAGCAACGAGGCGGGAGCAGGCTCTGCTCAGCGCAGGTTACGTGGCATCTTCAGTTTCTGCAGGAGGAACCGACAGCCAGCACAGGAATGAGTGTCCTTGGAGATTTGTCAGAAGTCCCTCCATAACCTCAGCATCCTTAGCCCAACCTCTTTAGTGTGCTAAGAAGGATCAAGAGAGTCTTCCAAGTGGAGGTGAGGATTCAAGCAGCCGTTGCTGGCTGCCTCTTGCAGAGCATAGGGGATACACAGCAGATGATGTTTGCAAGAAAGATGAGCTTCATTTTTATTTTTCATTTTTGGACGCTGGCTACCTGTGTGATTCTGTTTTGGAAAGTAATCAGGGTTTGGTTTTATTTTATACGAAGAAGTCAGCAACATGACTCCCTGCCTTTGCTGTGAGTCACTTTTGCTGACTCAGACGAAGTTCCTACCCTTGGTGGCATGGAGGGGCTGAGAAAGCCTGGAAGAGCAAGCAGCATTCCCTGTTGTCAGCAGTAGCAGTATTAAGCCATTTTTTGCTCCAAGGCTGGATTCTGTCTTTTATCACTCCAGTGCAAAAGGTTCAGTTATGTTTGGGACAGTTCCTGATGGCAGGTTGATGTTGCTGTACTTGAAGATGGAGTTTGTTGTGGTAAAGAAAGGAGACCCAGTGCCAAGTTTGTGGAGCTGGTGGTTGAAATTGGAAGCTGGATCAGAGGTTGTCTTTAAGGGAGGAGAGGGACGTAGCTGAGATCTCACTGCTGATCCACGGCCCCTGCAAACACCCTTGGCCCTTCTGGCTGGGAGAATCAAGCTCTAGGTCAGGAGAGCAGAATCGTGTGTGGTTCTTGCAGGGGAAGCTCTGGTCTTGTTCTGTGACCCTCTGGAGTATTACTCACTTTGCCCTTAGCCCTTATGGTAAATTGGGTGTTTTCATGTTGTAAAATGAATTTGCCTTACCCCATGCCAGGCTTTCTACAGCACTAGCAAAGGAGAATTCTCCTTATTCAGGAAAAAAAAGCAGATTTCTTAGTAATGCTCTGAACACCAGCAGAAAAAGGAAACTGGGCTTTCTCCATCCCTCCTGGCAGCTAAAAACCAGGCTCTGTTAGTGGGAGGGGAGCAAACCCTGCTGCTAATTCAGCGTTGTCCCAGAGTCCACTGAAATGTGGTTGGCTGTGCTCTCTCAATTGCCCTGCCACCTGCAGCCAACTATATGGGTCATCGTTTCTTCAGACTTATGTCACTGTGTGCTTTTCAGCATGTTCCAGCCCAGAAACAGCTGGGGTTTGGGTATCAGAAAGGTCTTGTGTGTCCAACTTTTGAACTGCTTTGAGCCAACAAGTCCCATAGGATACTTACTGTCCTACCAGGATTTAATTCACTTTTGGTGGGTTCAAGATTGCCTCTGCAAAGGTGCTTTAATTACGTGGCTTATTCTGTGTATGCTTCTGTGTTCAGTGTTTTAACATTTTGAGATTTTTTTGCTCAAAGATTGCTTACGCTTAGTTTTCCTGTGCTAGGAAAGAGCCATGGATCCTGGTTTCCTACCTCTTGAGATGCACAAGTCCTTTAATGAAAGCATTCATTTGGAAAGGAACATCTATTCGTGTGCTACCCTCACATCCTTGTGTGCTTTTTATATCTTGAAATAGCATGGGAGGGAGTTCCCCTGACTCACTGACTTGGAATATCAGTGGCGTGGCTGAGCTTTCACTTGCGTTTCCTAACTCTGAGTGTTAGAAGTATCTTAGGGTGGAGCTGCTGGTGCTTTGAGCTCAGTGGCTGCAGGTGCTCTTTGACCAGGAACTGCCAATTCCTCTCTGGGCATCCACAGACAAAGAACATCTGCATCACTCAGGGCAGGGATGGGAAAAGCCCATAAATTCAGTAGAGCTGGATCATTTTTTTGTGTCTCCCCAAGCTGTATCTCCTTCAGGAAGCTGCCCTTGATATATATCTGTGCATTTTTCTTCACTCTCTTCTGAGATAAAGCCCCGTGCCTTGGTCTAAGCAGAACATAAACATACACATGCTGCCACATGCACTGCAGGTCTGGTTTAGAGTTCGGGTGCTGTCAGGGTGACAGCAAACTGTGGTGGGATGGGTTGGCTTCTGTGTGGTTTAAGTTTAGGTGGGCACTGAAAGTGGTGATGTTTCCCTCATGAGGAAGGGAAGTGAATGGGGAGCTTGAAGTAGAGCCAATAATTACTGATCTGCTTGTTCAACTAATCAGTTTGGCAGTAGTGAACAAATCTCAAAAAGAGAATATTGGTGAGAAAAGCTTTATTTTAATTACCAGAACTATGTGGCCCACACTTTGATCCCGAAGGGATGAAAATGAGAACAGTTTAAAATAATGTCATTTTTTTTCCTTCTTTTTCCCCTTGTGTTTTGGAAATCCAGTTTGGTTTTGGCTGTGGGAAGGACTAACTGCTGAAACACCATCTTGTTTCTTACCAGTTGAAAACCTGAACTTACATGCTAAGGTGTCAGTTAGGGTGCTTTTGTTACAAACCCTACAGAGACATATTTTTTTGTTATTTACTTTCCTAACTGTACCTTGCAACATTCGTGTTCTGAGAGAGTGGCTCCTATTTGAATATGTGTTTCTGACAGCTGCTGTTCATCTGGCAACATTATGAAGCAGCTTGAGTGGGAGCCTCAGTCATCCAAAGCTTCCTTCCCCAAAGCTGCTTTTGCATAGTCAAATGATGTTACCTTTCTGCACCATCGCTCCTGCTTTGTGGTGGATAATGGTGATTTCTTGCTGTATGCAGGGCAGTCAAGGAGATGATACTGATGAACTGTTGTGCATTCTCTAGAGTTCTTCAGCAGTCTGCTAATCTCTGTCCATAACATGATAATGTTTTTGTAAGTTGTGCCTATTGCAGGTCAGGGCCCAGAGAGTGGCTGCACAGCTGGAGATGCAAATGAAGTGTCACCTCCCTGAGAGAGGAGCAGCTCTGCATCCTGACAAGGCTGGAGCTCTTGATGTGTTGTGCATTGCTCAGGGAGTGCTGCTCTGTAAACACAGGGTCTGCTCGATGTGGTGTTCCTGGGGTGACCCTTCCATACAGCTGCTGTGCTTCTGAGGGGCTGCTGCTCTCTTAGAGAGAACATGTCAGTGAAGCAAGAGCCTGCTAGAAAGTTAATCCCCAGCCTTTTTGGCCCAGACTGGGCATGTGGTACATTGCAGGAGCCATCAGTCTGTTCTGTCTGTCTCCTGGTGGTGGATACCACTCATCAGAAGAATCATTACAATGTGGCCTGTTGTCCACAAATCATGTGTGGGAGACCACAGGAATGTGCAAAGTGCTTCAGGTCACCTTTGCTAGCTTCTGGTACACCAAAGGTTTCAGCCCGAAGAGAGTTTCCTTTTAGAGAGTACAATGCCATGTTCCTGCTGTGAAGCTCCTCTTGCTGTATCTCTGATATATCTTGCTGTGTTCCTCTGCAGGAAGGAGCACTGGAAGCTCCTTGGCAACCTGAAGACCACAGTGGAAGGTTTGGTGTCCATAAGCAACCCAAATGTCTGGTCCAAGTATGGTGGCTTGGAACGGCTCTGCAGAGACATGCACAGCATCCTCTACCATGGGCTCATCCATGACAAGGTATGGCTCTGTCCTGCTGACACCACTGTCTGTCTGTCTGTCACAGCCTCAGTGCCTAACACAAGCAGGTGCTGCAGCTCACTTCTGTGCTCATAGCAGAGTGGGTACAGCGCTTATAACAGGTTGGGAAGTGATCCCAGCAGGGACTGAGCTTGCCTGGTAATGCTGTGGCTGTCAGAGGGACCTGGGTGCACATTCTTTCTGTCTCATCTACTTTCAATATGGTTTCTCTAAGTACTTGTGTCCCCCATGCTGAGGCCAGCCCCTCTCTCCTTTCTTTCTGCTGCATCAAGCGATTAAATTGCATTTGCAGTGAGTCAGCCCCATATCATCTGCACTTGGACAAGTCCCCAGTGAGGCCTGGCAAGAGAAACCTCACATCTTTACTGTTTCTGGTTAGCTGTATTAGTAACAGGAGCTGGCAGTCAAACCCGTGCTCTGCGTGAATGGGATCACTCTTTCCAGGGTCGTGTTGTGCCTGCAGTTGCTCACCAGCCTTCCCCTCTTCCATGGCTGCCTGGAAGAATTTCTCTTTCCCACTTGTGTGAAAATCTCCCCTTCAGCTTGCAATTACCAGCACAATTAATTTCCAGTGGAAAGCTGAAGCAAGGCTGCAGGGCTTGCCTGGGGACAGGCTTCCCATCAGTGGCTCTGCCACCCAGAGACAAGAGAATGGCACAGAGGAGCCCCAGGCAGATTGCACAGGCCAGCTGGGTCCCAGGTCAGGAAAACTGCACCTATGCAGTGCTGCATCCAAGCTAATAAACCTCCAGGATGAGCCAGACTGGCAGGTTGTCTGAGCAGGGAGCTTTGCTCCCTGGATTTACTGAGTTTGCAGACAGCATTAGTTGAGGTGCTGCTGTTCCTATTAGTCCCCAGCTGCATAGACCAGGGACCTTCTCTGGGAGATCAACAGGGAGAGGAGCTACCATTTCCATATGAGGAGAGCAGTGCTCCCTTCTGACAAACCTGCTATTCACAGGCTCCAGGAAGTGAGGTTTAAATGATTTATACTTGTCTGTCTGTTGGTAACAGTTCATGCCAGACCTGCGAAGCAGGATGGTGTGTTACCTTCCTCAGTGCTTTTTCTGTAGGCAGAGACAGCTCTTCCACTCAGGAATGTCTCCTCTGATCAGGCATGGGTGACACTAATCAAGCTATAGGAGTTGCAAAAGGAGGCCCATAAAAATACAGCTTCCTAACAGCAGTTGGCTCATAGTTGCTCCAGCAAAACATTTCCATTTACTTTTTATTTTCTTGGCAACTTTTTTGCCTACAGTTGAGGATTAAAAAAAAAGGTGAAAAAATCCATATGTACACATTAAGAAAACTAAGGTAAGAGATTTTTAAACTTTTGAATTCATTTTATTTGTTTGTCCAGAAAACTGAATTCAGTCTAGAAAACTAAAATTGCCATGTTAGTTTTCTAGTCTTATAAAACAAACTACTCCCCTGCCAAACCAAATAAACCACCAAAACAGAAGCCATTCCTCTGTCACTTGTGAAAGAGGAAATAGGGGTGGAAGTAAAAATAATGAGCTTTTTGGTGAAGAGAGACTTTGTGTCTGTGTTTACAACCAATAGGGTGGAGAGGAAAACAAGAAACTCTGTTGCAGTTCCTCTCTAAGGGGAAGAATAACTAAGAAAACTCCTCATGTCTGAATAAAGCTGAGGCAAACAGCATGGCCTCTCACGGCAGCAAGGGGCTAAGGGGGATGTGCTCCTTTAACTGGCACCTCGGCAGTGGTACCTGACTGTGCCTGTCTTGGGCAGGTGTGCTGCAGACAGAAGGATTACTGGCAGTTTGTGAAGGACATTCGCTGGCTGAGTCCAGGCTCTGCTCATCATCTGGAGAAGGTGGGTTCTGAGGGGGTGGCCCCGAGTGCCCAGTGGGAGGGGAGAGGGCAGCTGGGCTGGAGCCTCACCCATGGGACAGTGGTGCCTGGGCTGTTGTGAGTTAAGTGGCTCCATGGCTTGTGGAGGCTGACAACAGCTGTGTTTTTGGGTACAAGCCGTGTCCTGGGAACTCAGTGTGGCTTGGGCCGAGACAATTGGCTGCTTATTTCTCCCAGGCCAGTCTCCAGTTCTGCTGGGCTGGGTGCAGCAAGCATCACCAAGGGAACTGGCACAAGCAGTGCTTGTGTGTGCACAGGGGTGATTCATGTGTCTGTGCAGATCTCTGAGGGTCTGGGCTGTTCCATTTCTGGGTTGTGACTTCACCATGCATTTATTTTCCCATTCCTGACTTGTGCCAGCCACTGGCATATGGGGATGCTCTTGGTCCTCAGCTGCCTTGAGCTGACATCCATGGTTCCTGCGGGGGATGGGAACAAAGGGCTGGCCACTGGTGGACCCTGTGTCCAGCATGCTGCTGGGGGAACAGGGAACTCCAGTCTAGCTCTGCAAGCTGCAGCAGCTCAGGCATTGCCATAGCCTTTCCCAGTTAATGTGTCAGCAAGAAAATGACCGTCACCACCAGGGTCAGATTGGATTTGGGAGTGTGGGGTCCCTCCAGGTTAGGGACAAGGCTTATGGGTGGAAGAGTATGCAAGAGAAATTCATTATGCTGGTGGCTGTCAGAGGACTTTGGTCACTGGCTGACCTTTGAAGTGTTGTTCCTGCCTGGTGTTTTTGCTTCCCTGGTGGCTGGGGAGCTGCTGGGACATGCCCTCTTTCCTGCTGATGGTGACTGGCATGTGAAAGCTGCTGTTATCAAGGGGACCAAAGCCATGTGGTGGAACAAGCCCTACTCCCCTTCTTGCCTCTGCCTGCCTTAACCTGTGCCTGACATCCCTTTCCAGTTCATCAGCCTGCAGGAGAGCAGCCAGCGTGACCCCGAGGGCCCAGGGGACCAGGCCATTGCGCAGCTGTGGCTGCAGCACAGCCTGCAGTGCCACTGCCTGTCAGCGCAGCTGAGGCCACTCCTGGGGAACCGGCAGTACATTAGGAAGTTCTACGCAGGTAAAGAGAAATGGGCCTTTTCCTTCTTACTAGGAAAATATCTAGCTGGTGGCATTTCCAAGCTGCGTGGGAGTGAGGGAGGACAGCAGAAAAGTTGGTTTGCATATGAGCAACCGGTGTGTCAAACTGTGTGGGTGAGAGGGACTCCCTTGAGCAGCATGTTTTTTCCCCAGATACTGCCTTCCTGCTCAGTGATGCCCATGTGACGGCCATGTTACAGTGCTTGGAAGCTGTTGAGCAGAACAACCCCAGGCTTCTGGCTCAAATTGACACCTCCATGGTGAGTGGAGGTCCCAGATTTTACATATGGTGCCAACTGGCTGTGGCTGTTCCCTGAAGGTCACATTCAGGGCATGCAGAGCCCTTGGATAAGGGGCTGGACTTGGAACTAGTAAAAGTTGCTCCAAGAGGGAAGGAGAATGGGGAACTGGTCATTGTTCTGCATGTGTGACCTGTAAGGAGTCAGGGTGGGGATGATGGCTGTGTGGAGCCTGTAGTGGGGCACCTTGGTTCAGGCTTGCACCAAGGATTTGAGTAGAGGACCTGAGGACTAGTTCCTTGTAAGAGGCACCTTTAAAGCCCTCTCCAACAGTCCCAGGCTTCAGGGCCAGCACGCATACCTGCCTGGTTGTGAGGGACAGTCACCCTCTTGAGGGGATGGGCAATGCCCCAGGACACCTGAGTGCCTACTCCTGCTCATTATGCCAGTGACTCCCTGTGCAGCCCTGTGCCAGCTGCCCCCTTTCCAGAGGAGGGAAACAGCAGCTGCCTTCTTTGCACTGAGTCCCCAGAGGAGAGCAATTAGTGAGGCTTCGTTAAATGGGAGCTGTGTTCTTTCAGCTGGCCGGCACGTCACTGCCATCCCTGTGTACGTCAGACCCTTCTGCTGGGACAAGAGAGATGTGTGATCACAGTGGTGAGGGACACAAGAGCCGTCTGCCGGGAACGCTGGGCTGCCTGGATCATTTCACTGAGAGCCTGGTAATTTCCCAGTGGGAATCTGTTCTGTAGCTGTGAACAAAGAGCTGCTTCCCTTCTGTGCTGCCATGTTTTTCCCTCCCCACCCTCATGTTCCAAGGGCTGCCGCCTCGTTTGTTGGTGACCAGGCATTTGTAGGTTTATCCCTTTCTGTTGCTGCTCTTTTGACATGTAGCCCCATAGATGCTGATTTATTGATGATGCCACTTCTCTTTAGCTTACCAGGAAGAGTGACAATCCATCTCCAGTGACCAAGAGTCAAAGCCTGACTGCCCTCCCTGCATCCTCGTGTGTCCCTGCTGCCACCTGCTCACAGCAGCGCTGCTTTGGGTCCTTCTCCAGCCTCCAGCATCCAGCCTCCTCTGGCCTCCCAGGTATCAAGGGTAGGCTGGGGAACTTAGGGTAGACCACGAAAAGACTTTACCTTTCAATCTGCCTATGAATTTGTTGGGGTGAATGGGTATGGGAGACTTCTGCCCATGATGGGAGGGAGGGATTTGCCTGTGCTGGGTGGGCATGTCGGCATGAAGCCACAAGCTTGTTGCCATAGGATATGTCTCCTTGTGCCAGAGTGTGTGAAATCATGCTCCTGCCTCTGTCCAGACAGGAGACCAGTGAGTTCCTGTGGCAACTCCAACTCCAGCCAGTCCCAGGGGCGCTGCCCATCCACCCGGTCCTCCTCCTTCAGCGAGGGAAGGTCCCCTCTGGAGCAGCCCAGCTCTGTCACCCACTTCCAAGTCCCCTCACCCAAAGACCCCTTCTCTCCAGCCAGTGAGATGAGCTCCAGCACCACCAGCCAGAGCGAGGACACTTGGACAGGGAGTCAGGATGATCCACAGAGTGATGTTAATGACGGGCCGGAGTACCTGGCCATTGGGAACTTGGGACGCCGGGGCCGGGCATGCAGCACCAGCAGCACCAGCAGCACCAAGAGCAGTAGCTCCAAACTCTTCTCCTCCAGCAGCTCCCAGAAGCTGGACTCAGTATCATCCCTGGGGGAGCAGGGAGCAAGTGGAGGTGGCAGCAGGGGCCTGAGCCTGTTGCGCCGGTCCAGCTTCTCAGAGGGACAGTCTGCAGCTCCACAGGGCATCCTCAAGAAGAGCCACGTGCGCTCACACTCTGACACCAACGTGACTTCTGGGAAGTTACACGGTAATGGGACAGCTTATCTGGGATGGCTTTTGGACATGGGAGTCCCTGGTACCAGAAGGCTGATGCTGGCCACTCCCTTGATTCCATGGATCACATTGGAGAGGGGGACAGTGGGCAAGTGGTTGGTCTTTTCCATTAGCTTTTCAGCTCCACACTGGAATGATGGGCTGACATCTTGCTTCTCAGAATGCCCTGGGCTGGACTGTTACTGGTATTGCCAGTTTTTACTAAAGTCTTAGAAAATGACAGCAATGGGATCAGCTGTTCTTTTGCACTGGCCTTGCTTAGCTGGGATATGGGACTGGGGCCTGGGTTCATCCAACTAGTAGGATGCCATCCCAGTGGTAACGTGCTGGGTTCTGCTGTGGTCTTGAGTGAGTGAATACATGGGGATGGGGAGAGTGGGGTGTAAGGGGAGAACCAGTTTGTGGGAGTTTGCCCTGATGCTGCCTTCATTGGAGAAGTGGAGGTCCTTACTGAGTAGTAACCAGTCTGTCTCTGTTTTCTCTCCCTTAATGCTGCCCTTCTCCTCCTCTGCCCAGGAGGCCCCAGGGATATCACCATTATAATAGAAGATCCAGTGGCAGGTTTGGGAGCCAGTATAACAGCCCTTCATTAGTGATCATTGCATCAAGTTCAGGATTGCCATCAATCCATTAGTGTTCATTTAGAAAACAAACAAAAAAATCTGTATTTGCTGTGTCCCAGCTGATGCTTTGAGGTGTGGTCTGGTTTTATGCATGTGACCTGACCGAAGATCCCAGCTTGGTTTGTGGAAGCAGTGGCCCAGACCCAGAAGTGTGTCCAGCTCCCCTGCATGGCGTTAGGGAGTGCTGGCCACCAAGTCTCTGAGCTGCATCCCCTGCCCTTCCCTCCACCCACTGCCTCAGAAGCCAGGAGAGGTTTCATCTCTTACCTTGTGAATAAGTGCTGGCAGCTATCCAGGCATAGGCTTGAACATCTATTTTTTCCTTTTATTTGGTGGATCTGTGGCACAGGGAGGTTTGATGTTGACTGATTTCCAGTGTATGTACCCACAGCTGGGACTCCTGGATGCTCTTTTGGGCTCAGGGCAGGTTTTACCCTGAACAGAAATGCTGGGGTGCTGCCATCCCTTTGTCCCACATGCAGAAAAAGTCAGCAGCTCAAAATAATGGGCTGTTTTGTTCTGCATCCACTGAACAGTGGCACTGGGTTTGTCAAGCTCACATCTGGGTGTTGAGGGTTCTGTGTCTGGAAGGCTTCTCCCTGGGGGTGATGGGTGTTCAGAGAGATGTGTCCAGCCCTGTGTCCTGCTCCAACAGATGATGTTGAGCACTGCTTCACTTTACTTTTCAGCAGTAGGCTCTGTTGTGTGTGGTATCCCCAGGCATCCACCCTGGGAGGTGGTTTCTGTGTTGAGGTGGCTGCAGGACACTCTGTCAAGCTGCAGTGAGTAGCTGTGAGAGTCTCCTACCCTGACAAGTCTCTTGTCTCCCAGACTGTGGGATGGGTTGATCCCAGGCTCCATCCTGGTGACTGCTGCTTAATGGCCTTGATGGGGAGTCGCTGGTATTGGTGGGCTCAGGAGCCTCCAGCCACATCAGAGTTACGGTACAAAGCTGGGAACAAAAGTGCTAGGAGGTTGAGAGGACAGAGTTGCCCTTCTGTCATGCTTAGGATTGTCAGCTGGCACCTGCCCTGTATCCAGAGCTGTATGCTCCTGTCGCACTCCAGGCAGGGTGTTTTCAGTCTCCTTCAGCAGTCCTCTGCCACCCAGCCACTCCATCCAGGTGCTCCCTGGGGCCATGGCTCTCTGTAGAGCACCACCTGTTCTTGGTCTCCGGTCAGGCCAGCTCCTGGCAGTCTCCACTGGCTCAGTCTGGCAGGGAGTTGCACCACAGTGCGTGTGTGGAGCACAGCCCTGCCCACAGCCCATGTAGGTCACCTTGAGCAGTGCACCCAGGCTCCAGGGCTTTGTGTGGGGAGTCCTGTTTTTCAGTGGAGCAGAAGCATGTCCTTCAGATGCTCCTTACACTGCTGTCTAGGCTGCTTTGCAGGGCAGGGACCCCCACAGATCCTTTGGCTGCTCTTGTTTCCCTGTGTCTCCTGTTCTCTGTTCTGGGGGATAACTCTGCCCTCAGAATGCTCCCTCAGGAAGAAAGGGCTGACAAGAGCCTTTCTGGAGCCTGTTACATCCCCCAACTCTACTCTGGGTAAACAGAGGAAGGCTCAGGACGTGACTGCTCCTTCATTCCCCTTCTGCCTGAAATGCCTTTCCAGTTTTGCCTCCTCCTGGGTTTGCCCTCAGCTGTGGCATGGAGCAGGAACATGTCTCTCTTTATTTCCATCCGTTTGTGCCTGCGTGTGTGATGCCAAGCCCCTTTCATTTCACCCTGTGCAGTGGCTGGGCACCTCTGAGGTACTGAGCTGTGCTGGTGTCATCTTCCCTTCCAGAGTCCCATGGTGATCCAAGTGGAGGGAGAGGGCCGGTCTCTGCTTCCACACAGAGCAGTGAACTGAGCACAACCAGCTCCCTCTACATGGAGTATGGTGAGTACAGCCGGCCTCAGTGGGGACTCTCAATCCCGGTCAGGTTCCTCCATGGGCTGCAGTGGCCTCAAGTGCCAGCACCTGCTTGTGGAATGCTGTCTAGGTGCTGGCAGGGCTTGGTGGCATGGAGATAGCAGGTCCTTCCCTCATACCTATGTCTCTTGCTTTTCTAGACTCTGGACAGTACCTGAGTTCGGGGGAAGGGATGTTCAGGAGACCTTCAGAAGGGCAGTCCCTCATCAGCTACCTCTCTGAGCAGGACTTTGGCAGCTGTGCAGACCTGGAGAAGGTGAGTGAAGCAGCAGCAGCCGCCTGTATGCATTGGGGAATGTGTCTTACTGCAGGTTCAGGGACACTTCCTGTCATGGGGAGGATAATGCCATAGTATTACCTGTTGCAGAGGTGTGCACAGAACTCCAAGGCTGAACTCCTCGGTGGTGTCTGGGAACTGGGATCTGTCCATCTGTCATATACATGGCAGCTTTGCAACATGTTAGGGCCCCTCAGGGTCATGTGCTGACCCCCCAGAATGGATGTATTGCACATCCTCTTTTTAGAATGCCTCTTGTGTTTCATGAGTGTTCTGGTGCCCAAGAAGGCTTTGTTTTCTAGGTCCTCATAGAAGAGTCATATTTTGACAGAGATTAACATTTTTCTGCCACTATCCATGAGTAATAAGCTCTTTCCTGGCATAGGTGGGGAACAAAACTTTACCAAGTCTTCCTGGTTTGTCCAAGCCTTGAATGGTTTTGCTCTTGCAGGAGAATGCCCACTTCAGTATCTCAGAGTCCCTGATTGCTGCCATTGAGCTCATGAAATGCAACATGATGAGCCGGCAGCTGGAGGAGGAGGAAGAAGACAGTGACAAGGAGATCCAGGAGCTTAAACAAAAGATTCGCATTCGGCGCCAGCAGATCCGCACCAGGCACCTGTTCCCTACCTGCCAGGAGATGGGCTCAGACAGTGAGTGATGTGTTTTGGGCTCATCAGCTAGTGGGATGTGGGTTTTCTGTCAATTGCCTATCCTATAGCTCTGCCTCCTTGCCCATTCCTTGCAAAGAGTTAATTGCTACCAAGGTGGTGCCAAGATTTGTGAAACTGCTGCCATTGAAGACCATAATGTGACAGATACCATCCACTGATAACTCTGCTGTCACTGAGTTATGGAATGTCATTTCCTTTTCAACCCATAGTGTTTTCCATCCTTTTGCTCCCTCCCTCCTTTTCCTGGCTATCCCCATCTCCCATAGCTCTCAGTGACCCTTCAGAGCACTTCCACTGATGACCTGGCTGTGATGCCTTTCTCCCAGGTCTCATGGCAACAGACAGTGGGTCCCAGTTCAGCTCCCATGGCTCCATGCGGCTCTCTGACTCTGGCTCTGCAGAGGATGTGGAAGAGTATGAGATCCGAGGTAGGAGGGAAAGGCTGTGTTGGCCTCTTCCATAGAAACAGACTTCCTGGTGTGGTTGTGTTGGGGTCAGTCCTGCTGAAGAAGACCCTGTCCCTCTGGCCTTCAGGATGGCTTTTCCCAAACAAATGGCTGAATTCTGAGTATAAGCAGGGCAATCAGTTTCCCTTATGTGGTGGTGTGACTTTCCTTCTAAATCTTCTGTAACCCTGTAACATTCTGTGCCTCTGGCTGGTAGTGGTTTCCATTTCATTGCCTGGTTCATATAGATGCTGTCACAGCTAGAGAGGTGGGAGAGATGCCAACCTCTCTTCTCCCCTGGCAGAAGGAGCCATAACTCTGACCGCTTACCTCTTGGATAGTGGGTATTGGTCACATCCCGACCTGCAATGCCTGTAGTCTCTGCTCCTGGCAGCTTGGGTGACTGAGCTTATCACCCACAGGAGACCAGCCCAAGTCGCTGGGTATTCATTTCCTTCAGAGCCTTGTTCATGCTCTGAAGTGGATGACGCTTCTCAGCAGTACCTCCATCTCACTTTAAGAAGAAGATGGAGTTGTCTGGTCTTCAGCTTTAAACTTCTTGTCTCCTGACTATTGACAGCAACCTCTCCTTTCAGTCCACGAGGGTGAGGTTTTGGGCTCAGTTTTGTAGCCCATGGAGGAGTGTGTGAATTTAGTTCTGGGCTCTCCTCGTGTGAGTGCTGCTCTTGTTTTATGCCCTTTCTCTCTGGCCTGGCCAAAGCACTGAAGTGAACTGTTTTGTCATCACCATGTCATACAGATGGTAACGATGGATCTAACCTGATTCAAATGTCCAAGAACGGCCTCTCAGTGTCAATGGCTTCCTTGTTCTCAGGTACCCTGCAGTGCTCCCTGGGCACGCGCGCGTGTGTGCAAGGTGTGTGTGTGTGTGTGTGTGTGTGTGTGTGTGTGTGTGTGTGTGTGCACGGGCACACTTCTTCAAAATCTGCCTGGCTTCAGAACTGGGAATTAGTTCCAGTATCATCTAGATCTCAGCAAGAAAAGCTATGGCAGGCTGATGTGGCAGGATTGAGTAGAGCAGATGCAGAGGAGTTCTTCTGTTGCCTCCATCCCCCAGAGCATTTTGCCATGCAGTATTTTGGATGTATCAAAAATGCCTGCTGTGGTGAAGACCTGTCTTGCCTGGAGTAGGACTTCACAGGACAGTGAAGCTCTGTAGAGATGTAGTAGATGAAGTAGATGTTGAAGGCTGAGCCTGGGCTGAATGAGACCAGAGTCCTCTTTGATGTAGGACCAGGTCTCCATCTCAAGTGCCTTGAAGAGCATTATCTTACTTGACTTGGCAGAGCTGGTGTGCCATAGCTTTGATCTGAAGCACAGGCTTCCTGTTCTGCTCAGACTTGACTTGGAGTGGAATCCTTCTAGAAGAAGTTCTGGAGGGAGAATTAATGAGATTAGACAGGGCACAGGCAGTTTGTTAATGCTGAAGGTCCTAATCACTGGGATCACATGCAGCTTAATGTTTTTATTGTTTACAGTAGTACTAGGTAATCCTTCTGGTCTGCTGGCCATGTTTAAATAACCTTCATGTGCTCCCTGTTTGCTTTAGCAAGGGAACAGCCTGCTGGGCTGCTGCTGATCTCTCCTGTCAGCTCTGTTGTGTTCACAGACCAGGCTGTGGTCCTGGCTGAAGCTGGCACGTGGGGTGATGTCCTTAGATTTGGGGGCTGTTCACAAACTTCCTGGGGACTATCTCACTTGATAGCATTGGCAGCAGAGGTGTTTTGGGTAGCTAATGAGGATTTGGGGAGTGTTTACAATTAATGTTGAGAAGTGAGCGATGTCAGGATCCCAGTGTTAGCTCCCATGGAAGCCTAGGGTCAGATCTGGCACCCTCTGTCATCACTGAGACCATGTCAATGCCTGAGTGTGCTGGCTCTGCCTCCCCATAGCACCTGGCTCACTCCGTGCTGTGTGTGTCTGTTTGCTCATGTTCATTATAGTCTAGGACCATGCAGGGCCTTCTGCACAGAGCAGAAGGCACCAGAGCATGGCAGGTGTATCTGGCTGGCACTCTACAAGGTCATGAGGCTGTTTGCCTGAATTTCCTGTTTTCTGCAGCTGGAATTCAGTTTGCAAGACATAGATATGTGGATTCCTTAACATTAGGATGCTTTCCTGTGCCTGTTTTAGCAATGGATGTCAAACAATGAAGGTCAAGTGTCCAATCTGAATTCCAGTAGTGTGAGTCTGTAAATTTGCAGGACTTGCTCCTTTTATTTCTAGGACAGTCCTGCTCTCTGTAGAAAAGAACACTTTTCTACAGAGAGCAAAAAAAGAACAAAGAGAGGAACACTCTTTGCTCAGCATCACAGGCTGTGATTCCCTTGGCCTCAGTGTGCAGCTGGTGCCTGGCTGGGATCATGTGGGCTCTCTGCAGATTTGTATTAGTCAACCTGCTTGGGGTACAGGAGCAGGGACCCTGAGCTGTGCCTCCCCATGCCTGGCACTGGGGCAAGGGAAGCTACAGGCTTTTGTTTGGAGGTGGTGTGGTCACTGCAGACCATTCCTAGAGCTCCCCAGAGGTATGAAACAGCAGACCTATTGGGATGAAGGTTGTGGCTTTGGCCACTCTTCTGTCCTGACCTGTAGTACTTTCCCCTTGCAAGCCTTTTTCCCTTTTCTGGGAGCCTTATCTGCTATGAAGCAGGTTTCTACCTTCTGTATTGTACAACTGGAAGTGTCCTGACATAGAGGTCTACTGTTAAGATGGATTCCCTGTTAGGGTTTGACCTGCTGGAGTGAAAGAAAGATGAGTGGTGAAGGTGCCACTGGGTACTGCTGGTACCCGAGCTGCAGGGCAGCCCAGGGCTCTTTGGGAGCTGATGGAGGGGTATAGGGAGCAGGACTGCAGTGTCCTGCACCTTATCTTGGACCCCTCCCTTCTCAGGAGATGAGTCTGTGACCTCTGCAGAGGGCTGGCCTCATGGCTGCTGGCCCTTTCTCTGCAGGGATGCTGATGTGTCTGGGCAGTGCTGGGCACAGGCTGGACCAGGAGACCTGGTCCTGCACAGCCCTGGCTGTGCAGTCACTGACAAGCTGTGGCATGGCCAGTGTCTAATCTTACAGGGTCCAGTCAAGTAGAGAGAAGGGCTCTGCATCCCATTGCTAATCCCTTCAATCCATACTGTGTGTAGAGAAGCTACTAAACCTTCTTGCTAACCCTGCAGTCCTGCTCTGCTGTGTGTGTTCTATTTCAGGCCATGTTACTGCTAGGACTTGGTGTGTGACCTATACCAGCAGCCACTTGTCTCCCCCAAACGTCAGGCTGGCTGTTCACAGCATCCCACCATGCCTTTCCTCTGTAGTTCTGTCAGCCAACTGACTGCACCCTTCCTTGTTGCTCAGTGCCACTGGTAGAAGTTGATGCTGTAGTTCACCTGCTTTTGAACAGCTTGATGAGTTTTACCTTGAAACTTTGGTTTGAAATGAGTGTATCCCCCTGCCCTATCCCATCTGTTCCACCTTGTCTGTTTGTGATTCAGATGCAGACATCAAGAGGAACCCAGACTCCAGCAGGAAGTCCTTTCTCTCCTCGGACTCCATGTACGTCTTCAACTTCATGCTGACACATCTTGGTACCACATTCTCTTTCCTACCCAGCTCTGCTCTTCCATATGCATCAGATTCTGTTTTGCACTGGAGTAGATATTCCTCCCTCCCTCCCTCGCTCTGTGGGGTCTCCTTTGCTTTGTTTGGTGAAATACAAAGCTATGTCCATGGTTGGCAGCTGCTTGGGTAGGTCTGTACTGGGAGAGCAGTTGTTTCTGACTTGTACAGGCACTCCTGTTACTTTGCAGCTTTCCCTGTGAACAGGCACAAATTTTGCCAAGTGAGTTAAGTTTTGCTTGCTCTTCTGAGCAGTTGTGCCATTAGCCAGCTTTGCTTGAGGATACCTGCAAAGACAGAAGTCAATCACGTGTATTAATTGTAGTTAATATTAAATATTCTGCACTCTCTAGCAGTGCAGAATTAAGGTACCAGAGTTGAAGGGAGAATCTTTGACTTGAGCTGGGACTGGCATGGGGCTGCAAGGAGGGCATAGCTGTGAGATCCAGTACTAACGATTCCTTTGCTGTCTAGATCCCACTCCTTCCTCAATTCAAACTCGGCAGAGGCAGTGGCCATGGGCTTGCTGAAGCAGTTTGAGGGCATGCAGCTCCCAGCTGCCTCTGAACTGGAGTGGCTGGTCCCTGAGCATGATGCCCCACAGAAGGTAAGGCTGTGAGTTCCTCTCACTGATTGCATTTGATCTTCCCTGAACCCCTGGCTTCAGGGCACTGCTGAGGGGGCTTTGCTTGTCCCAGTGCTCCCTTTGTAGAGCTTGAGGAAAGGGTTTATCTGGGCTTTGGAGATGGATGCAGCCAAGCAGGGTTGTGCCACTGCAGCCTCCTACAGCAGGGGACAACAGCCTTTCTTCAGCCCCCCGTTCAGCTGGAGGGGCGACTTGGTGCCTAGCAGTTTTCAGAGGGCTGCAGTTGCAGGCTTCTGGCAGTCCAGCCAGGTGCACTGCCTTTGCAGTATAAGATAGGGATCTGACCCTCTTGCCTGCCTCTCCCAGCTCCTGCCCATCCCTGACTCTCTGCCTATTTCTCCCGATGATGGAGAGCACGCCGACATCTACAAGCTGAGGATTCGGGTGCGCGGAAACCTGGAGTGGGCCCCGCCAAGACCGCAGATCATCTTCAATGTTCACTCTGCCCTAACGTAAGGACCCTGTGGCTCGGGGCTCTCAGGGGACCTGCCCTTTCCATCCCTTTTCCATCAACACCAAGGTTGTTTATCCTCTAGTTGCTGGGGTTTCCCTGCTCTGAGGCTGGTAAATCCACAGTGGTGGTCACCACTGTGAGATGGTGAGATGGAGCCAGTGCCTGGGGTTAGTGCCTTTGGTGTGACCCAGGACACAGTGGAGCTTTTTCCCTTGGATGTGTTATCCACATAAGCCTCCCAGGCCTGTGCTGGTACCCATCTCCTGGTGCCAGGTACCATCAGGACTGGGTCATGCATGTTGTCTTCTGTCTCTGGGCAGGAGGAAGGTGGCTGTGGCCAAGCAGAATTACCGGTGTGCAGGCTGTGGGATCCGGACTGATCCTGGTGAGTGTTGGGAGCCTGACCTGTAGCTGAAGGGTGGTGGGGAAGAACCTGAAAACAGGTGGGAAGATGCTGAGTGAGTGGGTGGTGGCAGAGCCCAGCACAAGGTCCCTGGAGCAGTGGTACACTGCCTTCACCGTCTCTGCCTTCACATTTGTGTGCACCATCTACAGAGGAGCCTCCTCTTCTAGGAGGTCACAGAGTTGGTGGAGGCAAAGAGCAGCCAGCCTGTCCTTTAGAGGGCATTGCAGATGTTGACTTTTGTAAGGCAAAGTCTTCTGTTGGGTCCTCAAGCTCCCAGCAGGTTCTGCAGCTGCAGTGCTCTTCCCTGAATACGCAGTAGGTAGCTGTGGCTGCACGAGACTGGACTATTGATCCCAAAGGCTTTTGCAGTCAGAGGGTGTTTGCAGACCCCAGTGTTGAGCACTCTGGGCTGGAGGAGATGCCAACAAGGCAGAGTTCCTTGCTTGTTGGAAATGCTGAGCAGTGTTGGGAGTGCAGCAGAGGCTGTGCCTGGGCTGACCCTGCCTATCTGCCTGGGTTTGGCCAGATTACATCAAGCGGCTGCGGTACTGTGAGTACCTGGGCAAGTATTTCTGCCAGTGCTGCCACGAGAACGCCCAGACCGTCATCCCCAGCCGCATCCTGCGCAAGTGGGACTTCAGCAAGTACTATGTGAGCAACTTCTCCAAAGACCTGCTGAGCAAGATCTGGAGTGACCCACTTTTCAACGTGCAAGCTATCAATCCTGGCCTGTACCAGAAAGTGAAGGCTCTCAACCAAGTGCGGGTAAGACCCTTTCCATGCTTTCCTGAGTGGAGTTTGGGTGAGGTGGATGGCTGCCAACTGTAAACTGTTATTTCAGGGAAGCTGGAGAAAAGCAGATATTTCAGTTTTGGAGGCTTAAAACCTCATCACTGTGTCTTTCCATTCACCTCTTCTGATTTCTTCAGTGGCATAGGAATGTCAAAAGGAATTTCTGGCTGCTATCCAGCTTGACTTCAGTTTATCTCCTGGAGCACATCAGATGGTTGTGCTTGCCTTGCCCTATGTGATGTAAACACTTTGGAAACAGGAGAGCAGCAGCTGAGGAGCAGCAGTGATTTCAGTAGTACAGAGAATGGGACAAACCTGCTTGGCCAAGGACTGTGCTCTGTTTACTGATTCTTTGTCCCCCCTTCCTCTCCAGCTGCTGCGAATCCAGCTTTTCCACATGAAGAACATGTTCAAGACATGCCGGCTAGCTAAAGAGTGAGTCCTGGGCTATTCTGCTGTCCTGGTTCTGTCCCCTGGCCATTTGCACTGGGAATCTCTGCAGCTTGTACATTGAGCTCTGGGGAGAGAGGGGGCTGGAGGGGGAGAGAAAGCATAAGGAGTGAGGAGAGGGGTCTCAGTGGAGTCACTTTGCTCTGAGCTCTTGTTTCTCTGTCCTTGCAGCCTCCTGGACTCCTTTGACACAGTGCCTGGCCACTTAACAGAGGATTTGCACCTTTACTCGCTGAGTGACTTCAGTGCCATCAAGAAAGGGGACCTGATACCTCGCCTGACAGAGCTCCTGAAGGCAGGCAGCCTGCACATTGACAAGTGCATGGTAAGGCCTCCTCCTCTGCCTCCTTCATGGCTCTGGACCCTTGGGAGCAGGCTTTGCTGCAAAGATGACTGATGGGGAGGCTTTAGTGTGCAGGGCAGCCATCAAATGAACTGATTCAATGCTAACTGTTCCTGCCTGCTTCACAGAGCTCCTACCCCAAATATCACAAATGCCATATTTGCTACCCCATTTTGGCTCTCCTCTGCCCCTGACAGGTTTATTCAGCCTTCCTGTGCTCCATGCTGGGGAAGGGCTGTCCCACATGGTTAGAGCAGGGCACTGTGGCCTGCTGTCCTGCTCTACTCTACCTTCTGTCCTACTTGCCAGCGAGATGAGCATTTAACTGCTTTTTCCTCATATTTTCTCCTTCCAGTTGTGCCAAGCCAAAGGCTTCATCTGTGAGTTCTGCCAGAATGAGGATGACATCATCTTCCCCTTTGAGCTCAACAAGTGCAGGACATGTGAAGGTGAGATACTGGGGAAAAACAAGAAGGGAGCAGATGCTGGGGACACCGAGGTCTGCTTCCAGTTTGAGTGGCATTTGTGCTAGCAAGAGATACAGAGCTGTAGCCAGCCAGAACTGTGCCCCTGTGCATGGCCTATGTCTGCAGCATGTTACAAGAGCAGCAGATCATTGTTACAGTGTTTGCTGGCAGGGTAAAGCGTGTAGGTCCCCTCCTGACCATGAGCTGTGGGCAGTCGGGCTGTCACTGCAGCAGGCGGGTGTCTGGGAGCCCTGGCTTCCCTCCTGCTGCAGTTATAGGACAGGCTGCCGCCTGCACACAGCTCCCCTGCCCCTGCTTGGATGGCTGGAGCTGACCTTGCAGAGCAGACAGAGCCTGAAGGCTTTATCTCTGTGCTCTTCCTGCCTGCTAAGAAATCTCTATGTTCCTTCAGGAGACATCCTCGATAATGCCCAGTATTAATGGCTGAGTAGAGCTTGGCCCTACATCTTGGGACCAGCCTCTGAACAGGCATAAAACAGCTCCTGATAACATGCAAGCCTTGCTTTGGGAGGTGCAGCGCCAGAGAAAACTTGGGGCAAAGTCACTGTTTCCTTGGAGTATCAGGAAAGCTTGGGGAGGGACCTAGTGTGGAGCAGAAGTCCTCCCTCCTGTGCTTACAAAGTTTCATGAGCTAGTGCAGGGACCTGGGGTGTGGAGTGTCAGGCAATCTGTCAGCCTATACCAGCACTCAGCCATGCTCTCCCTCACAGATTGCAAAGCCTGCTACCACAAATCCTGCTTCAAATCCACCCCCTGTCCCCGCTGCGAGCGTCTTCGAGCCCGGAGAGAGCTGATGGACAAGCAGAGCATGGAGTCCTGCATCTCGGACTATGAGGACAAGCTGGAGCAGCCAGAGGCAGTGGCAGCCACATGAGCATGTTATAGCCAAGGAGCAGATCATGGGTTTATTTATGTGCATGGCCTTCATCACCAGAGACTGAGCCACGTGACCTGGGGATGAGGAGGACTGTTGGGAGGCCTGGAGCACTGTCTTGAAGGGATCTCTTTTCCCTTATGCAGTAGTGCTGGGCTGGGAAAGGAGCATATTCCACTATGTGGATCTGCTCCAGGTACCACTCCCAGTCCCTGCTGCCTTTGCTTGGGGGGAGGCAGCTGCTCCTGCCTATCCTGCAGGCAGAAACAGGGACCTTTTCCGAGGAGTTGTTCATGCTGGACCTGGCAGGGTTGTGCTGTCCATCCCTGTGCCCTGCTCCAAGCCAAGCAGGGTCTCCTGAAGCGTCAGCACTTCCTGCTCATCAGCTATATACTTGGAAGCTCTGGTCACATCTGCTCCTTGGAGGAGGGAATCAGGTCTCAGTCCTCTGATCCTCCATTCTGCTGCTGGGGGTTGTGTGCATGGAGGGAGGGTGGGGTTTGGGGTTGGTTGTCTATTTAACAGCTCCCTTTCTCAAATGTGCTGTGGGACACTGCTGGAGAGCAGTTGCTCTCACTCCAGAATCAGAGTGGAGAAGGTGGCAATGATGGAAGTGCCAGATTTCCCTGTCCTGCAGAGGGACATTGCCCCCGGAGCAGCTGCACAAGTGGATATGCTGATGGACTTTTGGCAGGCAGATCCCCATGGCTCCATGGAAATCGGCCTCCATGGGATATGGTGAGGCTTCTGACCCTACTTCCTCCTCATGCTGCCAGTCTGTCCTACCAGGGAGATATATCCTTCTTTAAGGATGACATGGGACTTCACTCTTTTGGCACCAGGACCTGCCTTGTGTGGAGCTGCCTCTCTACCTGAGACCTGTTGGGATGCAAGTGGAGGTTCATCCCTCCAGCTGCATCCCCAAGCCTCTGTCTCGGTTTGTTGTTTTAGGTAGTTTGTTTTTTTTAATGTGCTGGACTTGGTTTATTTTTTTAATGTGGTTGTTTATATTTTTAACTGTGTGTTCCCCCTCATGGAGGTGCTGCTTGAAATGCCTGCTTAAGGGGCATGGGATCTGTTTGGGACTCACCAGTATAAAATCTCCAGGGCTGTCCTGCTCTTGGTTCCTTATCCCTGGATGGAGCTGGTCCCCTCTCCCTGCAGGATCTCCTGCTTCCCCTGGAGGAGGAAGGGTCCCTGAGCCAGGCAAGTCTTGAAGCTTCCCAGCTATGCTGTGATGGGATGGTCAGGCAGCCTGCTTGCAATGGGGAAAGCGTGGGGAGAAGGATTTTTGCACTGAGGTGTCAAACCTCACTGCAGGGTCAGACCCAGTGGGACAAGGTGAGCTCTGTGCCCAGTTGAGGAGGTGCCTCTGCATTGTGGGGGGATGCTTTAGCCATGGCATATCCAGCAGCATCTCAGCACAGGTGGGATGTGGGGTGTTAGGAAGGGTGGTGTGGCCTGTGTATGTGCAAGGAGGGCGTCGAGGGACCAGGGAGCAATGCACTGGCAGGAGGCCTCAAGGGGCAGTGGCTCTTGCAGCACGTGCCCTGATTCGAGGCTGGGATGTGACCCCTCGTGGGCTTTCCCTGTGGGGGTGGCAGGGCTGGGGAGAGAGGAGGCTGGGACCAGGAGAGGTGGCTGCAAGCCTTGCTGCTGAGGGCTGGGCTGCTGCACAGCAGCATCTCTCACCTGCCTGCTGCATCCTGACAAAGTCCTGAAAGCAGGGTTCAGCTCCCCACTTGCTCCCCTGGCGATTTTGCTGCCTTGTGTCTTGCTTCTGCTTGTTTTCCTCAGCAGAGCACCTGCTCTTCTGCTGACTGTCTCTGCCAGCCCTGGGGCTGCCAGATGCTGGTCTGCCTTGGTCTTGCCTGTCCCCAAGCCCAAGCCAAGCCTTCCTGCTACTGCTTGGATTTGGGACCCCCTTCCCTGGAGTTGTCTCAGCAGCACACCTCCATCCACCCTATTTTGTTTGAAGCACTTTAATGTCATGGGACAGCAGCTGAGAGGCTGCCCAGATCCCTTTCTAGAAGCACTGAGTTATTTTTGAGAAGAGGGAAGGAATTCTGGCTTAGTTATAGTTTCCACCCTCCGCCATGGACTGTGTGTGGAAGCAGCAGGACTCACAAACCTGGCACAGGTCTCCAGGGCAAGACTGTGCCCAGCACTGACACTGCTGCCCAGCACTGACAGCTACAACTAACACTGGAACTGGCCAAGACAGGGAGCTCTTTGGGAGGGAGAGCTGGGGGCTGCCCTGGCTGTCAACTGGAGCCCTCACAACGGGATTGTTATTGCACAGCAATTAAAATGCCGTCCTTAATAAACTAAGTTAATAAGGAGTCTCGTTGTGTTATGATATTGTTTAAGGTGGGGTAATGGTTTGTATGGTACCTTGGGGTGACGGGGCAGGCATGGTGTGCTGCTGAGGCCCAGGGGCCTGGCCTTGGCTGCACTGTCCGTGCTTGCATCCCCATCCCATGCCACCCAGTTCTCCCTTCACAGCAGTGTTGTGCATCTCCCCATAAACACCATCAACACAGGTGATAGAAACTGTAAACTCTACAACAATTTTTGAAAGATATGTCTGACAGCACTGGCTCCATGAAGAGCCTCTTCCTGGGGGCTTTTCCCTAGGAACACCCTGCTCAGCCCCAATCTCAGCTGTGCTTACCAGCAACAATAGTGACCTGGGCTACTCCTGAGAACCGTGGTTGTAGAAGAGGTTTCTGGCAGGCACAGGCATGCTGAAGATGGGCTCTCACAGCTGCCAGCAAACCTGTGGCAGCAAAAAGGGCTCCAGCAGGTGCCCCAGTGTGGCAACTCGAGCAGTGGGTGATGGCAAAGACCCGCAAAACCCTGGAGTCTGCTGCTGCTACAGGGAGCCCTTCAATATCACTGGGTGATCCTTGCAAGCTGGCAGCTTGGCAAAGGCACATCTGCCCCAGCACAGAGGATCACTGGGGCTGTGTGGGGGCGTAGCGACGCTCAAACTGGTCCACATCGAACTTGCGCTTGCAGCCGGCGTAGTTCATGTAGCGAATCTTGCCAAAGATGGGCCGCTCCGCCCAGCCCTGGTCGTGAATGCCGCAGATGGACCACAGGCAGCCTGCCAGGCACAGGGACAGAAGTGTTAGCTCTCCCCCTTGCTCGGAGGCACCCAGAGAGCAAGTGGGATGTGGGTGCAAAGCAGAATGGGCTGGAGTTGTCTGCAGAGCCCCCACTGCAGCCTTGGCCATCACAGCTAAGGCCTCACACCCCATGGCCCCATCCTGCAGCTTACCTACGTATCCATTGGGGTCCCTCCCGTCCAGCTCGTAGCGGTCGTTGAGGTAAATGGCAAACTGCAGGGCCTCCTCAGGGGATCGCGTCCACTCCAGGATCTTCTTGGCCCAGTACATCCGCAGGAAGCCGTGCATCTTGCCCTCCCAGACCATCTGCAGCTGCAGGAATAGACACAGCCGTAAGGGTCAGTCCATGGCAGGTCACTTCTGCACCTCGGAAAAAAGCTCAGCATTTAGTGGAGAAGATGTAGGGCAGTACCTGGGCAGCATTCCACAGTGGGTCATGTGTGGCTCCCTGCTCCAGCTCCTGCAGACTGTACAGGTAAGGCCTCTTGTCTTTGGCGTGGAGCTTCAGAGTGGTTTGAGCCCAGTCATAGGCACCTGTGAGCAAGGGAGGAGCAACACTGAGCAACCTGTTCTGCAGGGTCCTGAGAACGGGCTACTGAGGGCACTGTGCCCTGGAGGCACCAGTCTTGAAGAGGGCACTCGCCAGCTTCTGTCCTGCCTCCAGGAGAGACCAAATGATGGGACATTAGTGCCCCCACAGCCCTTCCCCCAGCAGAACTGGGATTGCCAAATTGGAGTGACCAGTTGAGTACCCAGCATGGCCTGCGTGACCCAGGATGTTACCCTGCACACTGTCGTAGTTCTCATTGTAGTAGCAGAAGTTTTCAGCCAGCTCCCGCCGTACCACAGCCTCCTCCACAAATGCATCCACTGAGTCCTTGTAATTGCGCCGGTGCTTCTGCACCTCCAGGATGGCTCTTTGGGTGGAAACCTGGCCTGTGGACATGGGGAAGGAGCAAGTCAGGCTGTTGATCCAAGCCACAGTGCTCAGTCCTGCTGCAGAGTGGGAAACCTGGGATACTCACCGAAGTGAAGCCACGGGGACAGGTTGCTGAGAGCTGCCTTGTTGGGGTCATTCCTGTGGGTGCTGAAGGATTTCAGCCTCTCTGCAATGAAGGACTTCAGCACAGCCATCCCTGCAGCTGTGCCAGGGGTTGCCCACTCCACCTCCTTCACGGTGTGGTCCACCTGCAAGCTGGAATAGCAGGCCTCCCAAGCAATGGGCTGGGCGGCAACCAAGCAGTGAGTGCATCTGCACAATCTTTTCAGTGAGGGCTGCCCTGAGCGTTATGTTCCCAACCAGCCTAGACCCAGTCCATGCCAGCCTCCTTTTCTCAACTAGCCCTCTGCATGGCAAAGATGCAGGAACTGAATGAATAAGGTGGGAACCTCCCTTTCCCCAGGGCATTCTCATCTCCACACCATCTGTGTGTGACCTCAGGCAGGTCACTATCCTCATTTCCTGCCAGCCCCTCCCAGGATCACAAAATATCTGTGAAACATTCTGAGACATGCCCATGAATGGGTTTGGAGTATCTCCTGCTGGTACCTCTGCTGGGCAGGAGGGCTGATATGGGTGATGAACAACAGGGGGAAACTCGGTGAGGAACTCGGGGAGCTGAGCGTGGATCTTGCCCCGGATGGTCCTGGCACTGTACTCCTGCTTGGGGGAGGTGACCCAGCAGGGCACGATGTTGTGGGCATCAACCTGGGAAGCAAAGCCGTGGAGAAGAGTGTGAGAAGCAAACAATCCTGACAACACGACATGCATGCTCTCTGCTCAAGTCACTCCAGCACACAAGACACAGGAGACAAGTTTGTCCCACATCCCACCAGCCAGTTTTCCATTCCCAGAGTGCTGGCACTCACCTGTGCAAATGGCACATCCTCTGGCAACCGCTCCCTGACGTCCTCTACCCACTGCCGGGGGAGGCGGAGGGGACTGAAGTCTGTCACCAGCCCACCCACACCATGCTCTGCCACAAACGTGGGCAGCACATCCTTGGCATAGCCCAGCAGCAAGTGGAAGGAGATGTTCAGCTCTGCACACTCCTGCAGTGACAGGGAAAAATGGCTGTGGGACAGTTCACGGCTCTGCAAACCCCACCCAACCACCATGTGCTGAAGGGATGGATCTGCCTCCCTCCCTCCTTCCCCAGGAGCCCTCTCCCACCCAGCACGGACATGCCCTGGCTGTACCTGCGCTACCTCCTGCAATCCCCTCAGCATGAACCTGTAGTGGCGGATGGTGGCCTCCAGAAATTTGGGCACCAAGCAGAAGCAGACGTGCAGAGGCAGCTCCTGTTTGAGGGCCAGGCGCTGGGCGTAGAGGAAAGCCCAATTATCTGGGGAGAAAGTACACAGGGCAGCGTCAGGAGGGTGCTTCAGTGACAGAATGGGGATGGGCTTTCACAGGAAGTTTATCCCCAGATCCCTCTGTACAGAGTGGGGCCAGCACCAAAGTTACTGAAGGAGGGCACCAGCGCTTTTACCTTTCCACCAGCTGGTTCGTACCTTGCACTCGCTGATCCCGGCACATCCAGTAAAGGATGCACCGAGCATCATCCTTCAGGTCCGAGACCTGAGAGACAAGGCGAACCCGCTTTTTGTTGTACTTGAACTCTCGAACGGACGGGGCCGCCCTCCGACGGGCGTTCTGTATCGCCTCCTCTTCCTCCGTCCTCCTCCGAGACAAGGGCGGCACCTCTGTCACCTCGGCCTTTCGCTTCCCCCGTCCCCGCCGCATCCTCAGCACCGCCCGGAGCTGCGCGCCCGCTGCGAGAGCAAAACAGGCCGTGCTGAGCTCCCGCGCTTCCCGGCGAATCCCGGCCCCGGTCCGCCCCCACGGCCCGGGGGATGCTGGTCCCCTGCCCATCCTGGTCCTCGGGAACCGGGCAATAACAGGGTTACGGTCCCCGGCCCGATCCGCTGCTGGTCTCGATACCTGAGGTCCCGGTCCTGATCCTGATCCTGATCCCGATCCCGATCCCGATCCCGATCCCGATCCCGATCCCGATCCCGATCCCGATCCCGATCTCGATCCCGGTCCGTATCTGGCAGCCACGCGGCCCCGAGTGTTACACAAGCCGTGGGCGTGTGTGAAGGGCGTGCCCACGGGCGTGGCCGTGCCCCTAGGGGCGCGGCTCCGCCATCAGCACCGCCCCCTGCACACGGGCGCAGGTGCTGCCCCGATGTCCCGGGCGCGCCCAAGGCGCTGCACCTGCCCCGGGAGTTGTGTCAGTGCCCGCTGGTGCCTCCCCCCCCTGCGCCCTGGAACAAGGAAGCAGCTCCAGCTACCTTCAGCCATCACTCGGCAGCGTAGTTCCCTGCTGGCACCTTCCCTACGCCCTGTGTCCTCAGGCCCCCCACCTTGCAAGGCGTTGGGATGCTGGCTTTGGACATGAGTCGGGGCGCGGGTGGGCTGCCCCTGCTGCTGCTGAGCCTTGCGCTGCTGGATCTGCCACTGGGTAAGGGCTGAGCGGTATGTGGAGCTATCCATGGGTGGGGGTGAGTGAGGGCCATCCTTCTCCAGGGTGGTGGGTGGCCCTGGGGTGACTTCACCCACAGAGGTGAAACACTTTGGGTGCTGTTTGCTCTCTAGCATCTCAGCCCTGTCCTAGTGAGCAAACTGGGCAGTGCTTTATAGAACTAGCAATAAGCTCTATTTCTTTTACCTGTAATGTGGGTCTCCATCTGGGGAGAGAAGACCTTAGGACCAGCTGGACCCCCTTGCTTAGCCTTGTTCCTTGCTGGGCTCATTGCCTTTGCTACAGCCTGCCCAATAGCACCAAATGGCCCTGCCCAGATGGCAACCTCACTAGGCCTGGAAAACTTCAAATGCCATTCCAACATTTGCGCTTGATGCAAAGTAAGAGCAGTCTTGAGTGGAGCATTGGGGATAAACCTGCAGCCTGTACCTCCTGAGAGCCTGTAAAACTATAGCTGTAGGTCCTTTCCTGCTGCACCCCTCAACCCCCTCCCAGAGATTCTGTGGGCTGCAACAAGTCTCTCATGGACTTGCCCTGAGCTGCAAGCTGGGATTTGTTCCTTTGTGGGGCTAGTTCCACAAAGCATTCCCCCACTACCATTATTTACACCCACCACTATCAGTTCCTGACTATCTGCAGCACAGAGGGTTTGTTTAAACTGCTGCTGCTGCATTTCCAGACCATCTCACGGTCACCAGTTCCTGCTTGGCTCTTCCTGTCAGACGGGTTTGTCTGACTTCCTCCAGGGATGGGTGAAGATGGTGGAATGGGTCTTAGGACTGGCGCCTAGAGGAGTTTCTGTCCTGAAACCAACGATGGCCATGGCTTGTTCCTGCTTTGTCAGGCTGGGAATTTATGTGGTCTGCCTGGCTGATTGTCAGGTTGCTACTCAGGGAATCCACGTGCTTGATCCATGCAGAACAGGGAATCCCCACTCCTGATGATCCATGACTGATGCAAGACTTGGGCAGTTCATGGCAGTAATAATACTGCACCATCCCCAGCACAGCCATGGTCCTAGCCTTTCACTGCCTGCCCTTGTGTGCTGTTTCCCACCTCTTTGCAGGGACCACTGTCCAAGATATGACAAAACCTATATCCCTGACTCTCCCAACCTCCTTGACACCCACAGAGACCATGGCACAGCTGTCCAACACCAGCTCAAGCATTGCAGCCACCTTCCCTTCCTCTCGTCCTGCAACCTCCACCCCAGAGATGCCAATGGATGCCTTCACACCCAATGCTTCTACAGCTCAGCGGAGCAGCCTGGCAGCTTCCAACATCACCACACCACAGGCAAGGGGCAGCACAGCTCACAGCACTTCCGTGTCACCTGGGCTGGGGCCCACCACCACCAGCACTACCAGCACCACCCCAGCAGTGCTGGGACCCACCAGCACCACCCCAGCACAATTGGGACCCACCAGCACCACCCCAGCACAATTGGGACCCACCACCACCAGCACCACCCCAGCACAATTGGGACCCACCACCACCAGCACCACCCTAGCACAACTGGGACCCACCACTGGCACCACCCCCACCCCAGCACAATGGGGACCCACTACCAGAAGTACCCCCGCAGGGCTGGGGCTCACTACCACCAGCATGCCAACTCCAACTTCCATGGCCATGACATCCAACTGTGACAACACTCCCACTTTCACATCTGTGGGGACCAGCACAACCCTGGCTGCCAGCTCATTTGGAGTTGAAATGAGCATGCTGCCTCCCCCCACCTCTACTCTTCTCTCCTCCACCGTGGTGGGCACCACTCTTGGCACCAGCAACCACCAAGGGCCAGCCATGACCACACTGCTTGGCAGCACATCCCCAGGGACCAGCACCACCTCTTCTTCCACCACCCCAGAAGCAGCAGAGACTTCATCAGACACCATGGCCTCCCTTGCTACCACCACAGAGCTCCCTGGGAGCATCTCTGTCTCCAGCCAGCCAGTTGGAACCATGCCTAGGCCCACCCCTGGTACCTCCACCCCAACACAACCAGAGACCCCCAGTGACACTGCAGGTGAGTGCAGCTACAGGGCACTCAGAGGGCAGGATCAGGGTGATAAATCCCCACAGGATTACCATTTACCATCTCGCTCAGCCAGGCATTTGGCTTCTTCCCCCAGGGGCCACCTGGTCTCCAGGCTCTGCAGGCCAGTGGGTGTGTCCCAGGCTGGGGACCTGTGCTGTGACAGTACTGCGGTGTGGCTGTGCCCCCAGCGCTGAGCCTGTATGTACACATCCCCTGGAGGGTCTATGTACCCTGTACCCCAAGGAGTGTGACTGTACCCCATCAATCTCCCTGGCAGCTGTCCTCTGGCAGTGCCACTTACTGGGCACCTGTGTCCTGTCAGTGCGGCTGCTGCAGAAGCCTTTATCCTGGGAGTGCAGATGTACCCTGGTGCCAGCCCACTCCGTGCACCTCAACCAGGACAGGGAGGCTGTACCCTGCCCCAGTAGTCCTGGCCATGCACATGTTCCTGGTGTCCCTGTACCCCATCAGAATTACTGTATCCTCACAGAATACCTGCACCCTGGCCCAATACCTATGGTGTGAGAGCACCTCATCAGTATGCTGGTACCCTGGTAATGGCCTCTGTGTGCCAGTGCCCTGGCAGTGCCCCCATGTAGCTGTTCAGCAGCAGGGTGGCTATGCCCTGACAATCCTCCAGCATGCCTGCCTGCCTGCAGAACACCAACAGCTGGCCCAGGGCCTGCAGGCACCTCTGAGTGCTCCTGTCCCTGACCCTGAGAAGAAGGAAGCAGCCCCAGCTGTGAGCAGTACACTTCGGCTGTGACACAGGGAAGTGATGCCTGTACAGACAGCCCAGGGGACAAACCCTCAGCCTGGAGCACGCCCTTCCTGAGCGCCGCCTGTTCTCTTGGCCGATTCTTCGCGCTCAGACAGAGCTGGCTGTTGTCTCCTGAGGGCGTTGGTGCTGGGAGCCACCACCAAGCATCACCCCTGTGGTGAAGTGCGGGGTTCCAGGCAGCCTGGCTCACCCCTGGGCTTTTTTCCGTCGTCATCCTCCCCACAGCAAGGAGAGGACGGCCACAGGAGCCACGTCTGTGGTAGTGGTGGCCTTGGTGGCCTGCCTTGCACACTTTTTGTGGCTGTTCTGGGTCCAGCCTTACAACTGATGTTTGCTGGGCATTGCGCCAGTCCCCGAGAGTGTCCGTGTCAGGTGGAAGCCACTGCCTTGCTGCCAGCACCTGGAAGGTAAAAGGACCCACCTGGATGCTCCTCCTCTGCTGGGTGAAGGAGACCTGGAAACCCCAGTGCTGGGGCTGTGGGGAGCACTCAGAGTGGTGCCTGTGGGGGTTTTTCATCCCCCACTACCCTGAACATGGCTGGGCAGAGAGGAGGGCTGTCCCTGCCGCTGCCCTGGCTCCTGCTGCTGCTGCTGAGCCTCACCTGCCTCGCCGTGCTGCACCTGGCTCTGGGTAAGGGCTGAGTGGGATGCCATGCTCTCCACAGGGTGGGTGGTGAGAGGGGAGCATCAGTCCCCAGGGTGGAGAGGTGGCACCTGCGGGGTGCAGGGGGGTGGAATGCTGTGGGGCTGTTTCCTGCTTCTTAAATGGGAAGCAGAGGTGAACTTGCTGCTTCTCCTTTTATGAGGATGAGACCCTTCTGTGCAGGTGCTCACCTGGCAAGGGCTGGGGTCAGACCTTTGCCCTTCTCTGTATTTTTATTTAACCAGCTGCTGTGTACAGGGAGGGCATGGCTGTCAGGGGCTTTGGAAGTTTCTGGCTGGCTTGGCTGAAAGCAGATGGCAGCTTGTGGTTTGGTTTCCCATCCTCATGTGAGCAGAAACCCAGACTCACTGGGTTCTTGCTGGGATCACTGGGAAATCCAGTCTGGTATCCCAAAGCCACCACCTCACAGACGCCCCTTGACAAAGGCTTTTCTGGGGACCGCACACTGCTCTGGCACAGTCCATAGTGGGAGAGAGGACAGCCCTCCTGTGTCCCACCCCCTCCCCCCAGAGCTTTTGTGGGTCTCAGCACGTCTCTAACGGCTCATCCTGAGCTGCAAGCTGGGATTTGTTCCTTTGTGGGGCTGCTTCCCCCCTTGCCATTATTTACACCCACCGCTATCAGTTCCTGACTATCTGCAGCACAGAGGGTTTGTTTAAACTGCTGCTGCTGCATTTCCAGACCATCTCACGGTCACCAGTTCCTGCTTGGCTCTTCCTGTCAGACGGGTTTGTCTGACTTCCTCCAGGGATGGGTGAAGATGGTGGAATGGGTCTTAGGACTGGCGCCTAGAGGAGTTTCTGTCCTGAAACCAGCGATGGCCATGGCTTGTTCCTGCTTTGTCAGGCTGGGAATTTATGTGGTCTGCCTGATACTCATTGAAGAGATCTGTGTTTGATCCATGCAGGACAGTGAGCTCCCACTGCCAATGCTCCGTGGCTCATGTGCAGCTCTGAGTTCCTTGGGGAGCTCGCTGTGGTGGTGATGCTGCACCATCCCCAGCATGGCCATGGACTCAGCCTTTCACCACCAACCCTTGTGCATCTCATTGTCCCAACTCTTTGCAGAGACCACTGTCATGGGTGTGACAGCAACTGTGTCCCCACCTCTCCCTACCTCCTCAACACCTATGGAGAGCTCAACACTGCTGCCTACCACTGACTCCACCGCCACAGCCACCCTCCTTTCCTCCAGCCCTGAAACAGAAGCCTCCACCCCAGAGGAGTGCAGCACATCCGAAGAGACTGGCAACACCTCACCTCCCAGTGTGCCTCCTTCCACCACAACTACAGAAGATTCAGTCGAGTCCTTGACAACCCTGGCAGACACCACAGCCAGCCCTGTTATCAGCACATCAGACTCCATGAGCACCTCCTCTTCAACCGACCCAGACAGGACCACCTCTGACATATTCCCCTCAACTATGGAGTCGACTCCAGGTACCCTGACAGTATCTGGGACCCCCAGTGCAGCCGTGGGTGGGTTCAGCCGGGGGGCATCTGGAAGACAGGGACATGGTCAGGGTGACAAATCCCTATAGGAATTCCATGTACTTGGGTGGCTCCACATAGGCAGCTTCACTTAAGCCTGTCCCCAGCTGCAGGAGCATCCTGTACCTCTGCAGACAGCACTAACCTAACATTGCTTTGTCCAGGCACTGAGTCCTCTTCCCCTGCCACCAGCTCGGCCGAGACCTCAGAGGCTACTACCTTCAGCATGCCTACAGACCTGTCAGCGCTGCCCACAGCCTGCCCCTCCAGCTCGTCCAACACCAGTAAGTGCAGTGCCTGTGGGTATCACCACCCCCAGCATCAGTGCAGGGGGTCCTGGAGCCCCACTCCTCTTGCTGTGCTCTCAGTGTGGAGGTGCTGATGTTTTGGGGTATATGTGGTTTGCTGTACAGTGAGAGGCTTATTCTGACAGTGTAGTGTGTCCATGACACAATTAACCTGGGAGGATGTTCCGTGTCTGTGACAGCAACCCTGGGCAGAGACCCCCAGGTCCTCTGGCACAGCCCAGGGCTCAAGGGCAATAACCAGAGTCCTGTTTTTAATCCCTAGGTGCCTCTCACCTCTTTCTGTCACTGCGGCTAGCCACCCCTCTGGACCTGGGGAACACCACGGTGCAGGAGCTGGTGTTGTCCAAGGTAAGTTGTGTGGGAGGAGATCCACTCTGCATCTGCCAGCTGTGGTTCACTCAGGGAGGGAATAGCTACATCTTGCACTGAATGTCATCCAGAGCCCTTTCAGATGAAGGGGAGACCCTCCTTTGGCTGCCATAGTCTGGGATCAGGCCCTTTCTATGTGGGGACAGGGAGTAGGAAACTCCCTCTGGCATAGTTTGATGGCTGTTCTTTCCCCCCAGCTCCATGAGGACCTGCAGACAAAGTTCCCGTGTGCTGGCCTGTCACTGGCATGGCGAGGGAAGAGGAGGACTTGACCACTGCTCCTGCATGGACTGCCAAGCCACCTGCTCCCAGCTCCTCACTCCATGGTGGTGCAGGCCTCTAGGGGATCCCATACAGCTCCTCTTGAACCTGGGGCTTCCTGTCCTTCACTCTGTACCCCCAGGGGACCCCCAGTCTCCTCCTGCCCCTTCCCACTGCCTGTCTGAAGAGCCCGAGCCCTCCCACCACCCTGCTCCAGACCTGGTTCCTGTGGTGGCAACCCCTCCAGCTCTACTGGGGGGCTGGGAGAAGGGCACCCCACAGGACTGGGCTTTTACATCTGGGACTGAGCTGGCTCAGCTATCAAAGCCACCCTGGGGACAGAGGAACGAGAGGAAGACCTGAAGCCCCCAGTGCTGCTGTGCCCAAGGCTCACCTGTGGTATTGCTGACAGAGGAGAACACCCACGCCGGGCAGTAAATAGAAATTCCATGTTTTCTGTGTTGAAGTGATGACTTCTTTATTTTCCAAATTGCCTTTCCCAGTTTTCAGCTTTGCCATCTATCAGAGGTAGTGCTGAGGAAAACTGAGTCCCAAGAGCTTTGCATGGAGAGACAGGCTCAGGACTGTCCCCTCCCACCAGGGGCTGCTGCAGACATTTCCAAGGATGGCTCAGCACCCCGGCAGCCTGGTGGTCTCTGCTTTGGAGCTCTCTGCCCCATGACACCCCACAGCTGCAGGGGCAGCACTGTGCACTCTGGGGCTGTGGAAATCCCATGGGCTGTGCTCCTTCCCTATTTTTTCCAGTCCCCAACTAAGGAGACGGCTGCAATGTCTGTCCCCCTGCAGCAAAGTAATTTATTAACTGATTAATTAGCCAGATAAAATCCAACTGAAGCAATTATTAGCCTAAGCAAGCCACCTCGCCTGGAGATTGAAAACTGAAATAATTAGCAAAATAGCCTTATTGCATGTCAGGGGTTGTTTTTGGCTGATCCCTGCTTCTCCCTGGCAGCCCTCACTGCCCCAGCACAGGGAGGGCTGGGAGAGGGTGTGTAGGGCTGTGGGATTCCTAACCTGGGGACTTCTCTCAGGCTGCCTGGATTGTCAGCCGGTTGGGAAGGAGCCAGCAGCTGGACAGGATGGGGAGAGACACCGTGGGATTACCCAGCTGCCTGCCAGTTCACAGGGCCTAGGAGAGGCTGGAGACTGTGCCCAGGCAGCTTGTCAGGATGCTCCCATTTGGGGCACCCCGTGCATTCCAGGGTGGCCCCTTTGCTCTTTAGGATGCTGTCTGGCTTTTGTGAGCTTGTTGGACCCATCGAGACTGAAAGAGGTCCCTTAGCAGCTGGGCAAGGAGCTGGGGAGCAGGGCAAAGCCTGTTGGAAAGGGTCCCTGTGCTGGCTGCCTGGTGGGGTGCTGGGAAAGAAATCCTTGTGGTCTGCCTACGCCTTGGAGCTGGGCCAAGAGTCCTCCCACGTCGCATCCCACTGGGCTGTTTTCTCCGGCTGTTGAATCCATAACTTCAGACCCCGGGACATGGCCGGGTGCCAAGGCCAGGGTAATGGAGCCAAACTGCGTCACAAAGGGAGGAAAAGGTCCTGAAGTGCTGGGATGAAAAGGTGACCAGGGTACTTACTGTTCTCTGCTGGCACAGCTGCCTTCCACCCTTATCGTGGTTGGGGGGAGGAGATGCTCTGGTCCCCTCTGCCACCAGCCTGGGAGGGAGAAGAGGGGCACAGTGGGAGGATGTGGCTCCCATGGGAGTGGTGGCACTGCCAGGCAGTGGTGGCACAGAACTCTGACAAGCCCCTGACACTGCCCATACTCTCTGTGCCTGCTGTCCTTGAGGTGCCACCTTCACCCCATGGCTGCTTGCCTGCCATAGGCTGCTGACCAGAGGGGCTTGGGAGGTTGGATCCAAGCCCTGCTGCTTTCTCAGTCCACAAAAGAGTTCTCAGCCTCTTTGCTGTAATACGCTCCAATCTCTCAGCATTGTCCAAAGGAACAAATCTTGTGCCCAACATGACTATCACCTTCAGAGGATCTGGCAGCATCATGGGGCGTGTCTCAAGTCCCTTGTGACTCAGGTGTCCCTTCCGGTGTCCCCCTTCCCTTCACCCCTGCTGATGGCTATAGCCCTGGTCCCACTCTTTGGCAGAAGGATGTTGCAATACACCCATGCCAAGTCATCCAGAACCTGTGGGGTTGATGGATAACCTGGTTTCCCCCATTGCCACCCTGGGCCCTCTCCAAATGCCCTTGCCAGGAGGCTGGAGGGGAGCCAGTAGGAGATGCTGTGTTCTCCACAGGACTGGAACAACCAGCCCATTAATTCCAGGAAAGCTGATAAGGCACTGTGCTGGGCCATGCTTTGCCATGCTAGATGGTGCAGAGCCCCTGGGTGCTGGGATTCAGGGAATTGCCCCCTGGCTACAGGCTCCTGGAGGGCTCCAGTGCCCACATGATGCTTTGGTCTTTGGTAACAGCAGATTAATGACTTTTACAGGAACCAGCGCTTTGCCAGGACCTTGGTTTCAGATATAGCAAAAAGATCAATAAAAAGCCCCTTCCTAGAGTGGTAACAGGGTACTGTCCTCAAGATGAGGCATCCCTTGGTGGCTCTGGGCTTTCTTGGGAGGGTGTGCTAATGCCTGAGCAGAGGGATGAGTTTGGTTTGTCAGTCCCATGACTCCACTGGGAGATGGGCATTTCTGGGGGACAACATGGGGAGGAGTTGCAGCAGCACAAGGGCCTCCAGACAGTGCTGGCCTCTGTGAAGCACAGACAGGAGCTTGCAGGCAGGCTGGGACCAGCACCTTGCTTCAGCTGAGTTGTTTTCTCTATGCTGAGCAGAGTGTTTGCAACAATCCCTGTGGTTCCCACCACATTTTGCACCTCAAACACCATCTGGAGCAACACTCTCCAGCGTCAGCATGTATTCCCTGCTGGGGTTGCTTTCCAAAGTGATACAGCATCGTCAGCACGGGCAGGAACCACTCTCCCATGGCAGGTTTACATCTCTCAAATCCTCCATCAGCCGTGGTGTGGTCACTGCTCAGGTGGTCACTGATGGGTCAGTCACCCCATGATGTGCAGTGCTGGTAGCAAGACCCCAGTGCACTGTTCCCCAAAGCTTTACACCCACAGTGGCATTTTTGGTGGGCAGGTGTTTAGTTCCAGGTGAGCGCCGCTCCCCCCGGTTTATCGTCTGTGCCCTGTTCCCAGTGCCAGGGGCAGTGCGTGGGTTTTACAGGATGGGGTTTGATCAGCCGTGACTTGGCCCCCCCTGGCATTTCCCCATCCACACTGCCCAGTGCTGGGTCAGGGTGTCATTTGATGTGCTGCCTGCCCAACTCCAGCGGGACACCGTGTACTGCCTAACACCCCTCATAACACTTTGCAGGAGTTGCCTGTGGGCATTTCTGGTTAAGAAGTGTTTAATTGCCTACAAAACCATGTAGTGGTGGGAGTTTGCATAATGCTGTTCACAGGGGAGCTGGCAGCAGTTTTCAAGGGGGCGTGCAGGCATTGCTGCTCCAAGAGGAGGAGAGGGGTGAGACATAGGGGTGAAGTGACTCAGGGGATCCCCATAGCAAGGAAGGGGGTATGGGTGTGTTCTTCTTCCCACTCCATCCTCTGGGGATGCTGGTCCAACCTTGCAGAGAAGGTTCCCTGGACCATTTACGCCCTCCCAGCACCCCAGAACTGCTGTGTCCAGATTGAGGTGCAGGTTTCAAACCCCACTGGCGTGTGCTGGGGCTCTGAAGAGGGATTCCCAGTGCTTCTAGTTGCAGCTGAGCACTGTGGAGCTCAACTGACACTCCGGGCCTGACCCCAGCCACTCTTCTCCCTGCTTTATAACCTGCCTCTACTCCCTGGGAGGCAAGTGGACACTTGTGTCCTGCCTTGCTCTGGGCTGAGACATAGTTCAGCTGATGATTTTAGCGTCCATGGTGTCCTCACAGGCATGGTGACGCCAGCTGGCATTGCCCTGTCACCACCACACACTGCTCTGTGGCCCCACACCCCGCGTGTGGAGCAGGTTCAGTGGGGTCTGTGGGGTGACTGCCATGCCACTGTTGGCAGTGCCACACATTGCTCGGGGCTCAGCTTCACCTTCTGGTGCTGGCAGTCCAGGGAGCTGCACCAGGCTGAGCCCAGGTCCCTGGGGGATGTGGGTCCCTGCACGGTGGGCTTTGGGTACACCCCAGCCCATGCCCCAGCTGAACAGGGCATCCAGCCCTTGGGAAGGGGAGGGCTCGACCGGAAGGGAAGGGTGACAGGGACATTGGAGGAAAGGGACCGGGGGCGGGAGAGGACGTCGGCAACCTGCCTCCTTCTGCCATCCCTATAAATAGGAGGGAGCAGGAGCAGGAACACCTGTGGGACTCCAGCTCTGCAGGAGAGGCAGACAGGGAGGGACGGAGGGAGCTGCTCCTTGCTGCTCTCTCCTCCCTTTGAGCTTCCTAGTGCTCTGCCTGTGTGGAGGCCTGAGGCATGGGGACCAGGGGATGGACGCTCTCCACCTTCCTGGGATGCTGCGCGTGGATTCTGCACGGTATGTCCTGTATTTTTCTGCTAGCCCATGTGCTGCCCGAGCCCAGTCAGGGTGCAGCAGGTACACTGTGAGATGCTTTTCGCTCCTGGCTGTACTGGAAACTCCTCTTACGACCAGTCCTTGCAAGGCATTGCAGCCAAAGAGCTGGAAAAGCATTTTACAGGGCAGGCATCACCCCGAGGGGCTGGTTGCAGGCGTGGAGCCGTGGGAGAGATGGGAGCCCAGCCCGGAAACCTGCAGGCAGCTGTGTACCCCTCCAGCAAAGGAGCCAAGGGAAGCCAGCTGGCAGAGCAGGACCCAGGGATGCTCCCATCCCTCCCACAGCCCAGGGAAGAGCAAATGCTTGTTCTCCATGCTGGGGCCCCTCTTGCACGAACTTCCCATGAATGGATGTGTGGGATAGATGGTGTTTCCTGCTCCACATTGAAGAATTAAGATAAAACAGGGATTTACCGGGGTGAGTGGGCTAAACTAAACTGGGGTGACTTGACTGATGTACTTTGCTCTCCCTGAGCTGGGGACGGAAGCTGCTGAGCTCCTTTGGCTGAGGGGGCTGGTGCAAAGAGCCCTTTCCGGCCAGGGAAGATGACACTGAAGGAGCCTGCCAGGAAAGGGAATGTGGGTCTAGCAGAGGATGGATCCCTCTAGGACTGGCCTGGCACAGGAGCTAATATTCATTAATGACCCTGCACAAGCTATCTGGGAGCTAAGGAGCTGAGCCAGTGGTGAGGTTGGAGGCACCTCTGCTGCAGGGAGATCTGGCTGCCTGTCAGGGGGAACCTGATGAACTGGAGCACCGGGATTGGGAACAGGCTGGGGCTGTCAGGCTGCGGCAAAGCCCTGCTGGATCTTGCCATCGGGGTGCCCTTCTTCTCCCCTAATTGAAGCTCCCTAAAGCCAAGCGTCAGCAGATCCACCCAGTTCCTCATGGAGCCAACGGCGGCAGC